AAATATTCTGGTTATCTGCTAGTTTTTAACCATAATATTTCCTGAATTCCTATTTTTCAATCAAACATGAGCTGGACAGACTGATACAGCCATTAAACCAGATGTTAAGTGATCAATGAAATCAATGAAAGCAAACCAAAAAACATTAGATTAACTCTAATGGAGTGAACAAACAATGAAACAGCAACCTAACAATACAATCAAACAAAAGTTTGCATCCATTTAAGACTACAATAAGACATGGTTTTTCACCATTTGACAATACTGTAAATTCAGAAATTATTGCGATGTTTTATTCATGCGAAAATTGCAACAGTATCAGGTTCACAATAATAAAAATTGCGAGATGAATTGCAAGCTTATTTTTTGGCATTATTTATCCAATCTCAATTATTGCAAAAATAAGAATATAGCAAAAAGTGTTCAATTTTACAATATTTAGAACCAACCCAGCTGTAAATGTTCTATCCCAAGCTGACATTTTGGGCAACATTCACTGTATTTCCTTTGAAAATATTTAGCTCAATCTCCACATTAATTGGTTCAGACATTTCTCACATGTATGACAATCATTTTATGGTAAAAAGGAATTAACAGGCTATTATTTCAACTTGGAATTATTTTCAATTATGGAATTTGCATCATTTCTTGTGCTTGAAATTCTTAATAAATTCCATGTTTATTCTGTAATTTGATGTTCTATGCGGCACACAACACTACCTATTACAAAGAAGATAGCACATTTTCAATAGAATGTACTGTGCCGCGCACAACACTATCCTTACAAAATACATTGTATGGAAAGTGTTACATGTGTTATGCACTGCTCAAAACATTATAATACAGAATAAACATGGAATTTATTAAAAATTTCAAGCACAAGAAATTATGCAAATTCCATAATTAAAAATAATTCCAAGTTGAAATAATAACCTGTTAATTGACTTTTCTCAAGAAAATGATATTTATCTTTGAGTTTTCTATATTTGGCTAGACGATATATTGTCAATTTCACATAAATGCTGCCAATCCTTATTTCTGAGATAAAGATGAAATCGATGCATTTAAAGGTACATTGTGTCAATATAGAAGTATTTTGTAACAAAAGAGACATGTAATCAGAAACGATTTTACATGTCTTAAGAAAAACCACATAATAACGCTTGTGTTTATTCTACTGGAATGTTAAATACAGTAGAAATATAAGTTGAACATCATTCCTTTAGTACAAGTACTGTAACCTGTGTTAAAACCCTAAACAAAACTTTCGAGTCAATTCAATGTACATTTCATTTGCTGGCATAAAGCACTTAGAAGAAAAGGAACAAAAGTCTATTTCAAATAGAAAGTAATGCCATAATAATTGTTTATATCAAGTTTTAAGCTGCTTATGTGTTATGAATCACAATCTATGAAAAAAAAAACTTCACAAAGACCCAAAAAACTGCATTTTGATAGATATTTTAAAAATAACTGCAGATATAAGCTACTTTCTCTGAAAACAACTTACATTTTTTAAATGTACAAAATATAATTTATCTACCTCAACTCATTCTTACAAAATCAAACTTTGATAGTGATCCATATCCTATTTATACCTTGATATCAGAATTTCTCATGGCAATATTCATACCAAAATTTTTGATAGCTGGAATCATTTTCTTGATAATGATAGACGGTTGGATTCTTCCTATGGTGTGTACGTTTCTCAGTTAGTGCAATATGCTAGTGTTTGCAGTGAAGTCTCAAACTTCAATAAACTAATAAAGAGCTGTGCACATACTGATTTTGTGTCATGGATGGATTCCCCATATCCTTTCTTTTCTATTACTAGTAAGTATATAAAATTAAGAAGATGGGGTATGATTGATAATGAGACAACCCTCCACCAGAGAACAAATGATGAAGAAGTTAGCAACTAATAGGTAAGCAAAAGTTAGCAACTATAGATCACAGTAAGGCCTTCAACAAGGAGAAAAACCCATACGGCATAGCAAGCTATAATAAAATGCCCCGAAATGACAAATGTAAAATAATTCAAATGGGAAAACTTGAGGTCTGATTAATGTACAAAACAATAAACAAATAAATGGGGAATGTGTCCATGGGACACAGATGATGCCCCTGCTTGCATATAACGTTATAAAGGGACATAACTCAACAACTGTAAATGTGACGCTACCCAAATTTGTACTTGATCTGAGTTTTGTGGTAATAAGTATTGTGTATAAGTTTCATAACATTTGGTTGAGGTAAACTGAACTGAAGTTAGAGAACGGAAACCAAAAATTTAGCAATTTTTCCATTTGTAAAGGAGCATAACTCTAGAACGGTAAAAGTGACGCCACCAAAATTCAAACTTGATCTGTGTTTTGTGGTAATTAGCATTGTATATTAGTTTCATAACATTTGGTTGAGGCAAACTAAAGTTAGAGAACGGAAACCAATTTTATGACGTACAGACGGACAAGGGTAAAACTTAATGCGCCCTCCGCTACGGCGGGGGCATAAAAAACAATATGATATGCAGCAACCAACTTTTACTGAATTTTATCACAAATTACTTGTCATTCATGAGGAGGTATCATTCCACAAGCAGAAATCTAGTAAAATGGGCTTTTTTACACTAAATTTTATTGTGGTAGTAGTTTATATAACACTGAAGTTTAGGAATTGTCCTGCAAATCTTTCTTTTGAGCTGAAAAGATGTATTGTTTATTATTATTGTGTCTGGTATTTTTGAGGATAAACATCAGTGTGCTAATTAATAGTTTGAAGCAAAACTAGAATGTTTCTTTTGTTTTCTACATTGAAATTCTTTAAGTTTTTTTTTCTGGACATTGGATGATATTGTGTCTTCTTTTCTGTCTCTGATGTTGCTGTATAAATAACATTCTGATTGTAAGCTATACAACAGTTTGTATGACAAAATGTGAAGAAATTCAAAAGAAAAACTAATGGCCTGATTTGTACTACAACAATGAACGATAAACAAATATTCTAAACAACAATCAGACAACCACTTGATAACCATGGCTTTGGACAGCCACGTAAGAATGCTGTTAGTTTAGCTCTTTTCCAGTATTGATTCGGAGTACATGTTCTTTTATATACCTTTTGTTAGACCATTGATTGAGATTAAAACTAGAGGCTCCAAAGAGCCTGAATAGCTAACCAGGCAAAATTTTCCATTTTGATGTTTCCCTTTTTTCATAGTCTATTTTCTTTCCGTATTAAAATCTACAGTCTTGGAGTGTTCATGTGAAATAAATACCAATAAATAATATTTTTCTTCAGTATGAGGATCACATTTATTCAAAGAGACCACCTGACTTAAGAAAACATACCCGGTATGTATTTCCATAAAATACAACAGTATCCACCACAGTTGTCCTTTTACAGTGGATTCATTTATTTTCGTGGACTGAGGAAGAATTGTATTTACCTAGATTTTTTTTCTTGGTTTTGCATACAAGCATATAAAACATTTGTACATGGTTGAACATTTGTACATGGTTGAACACATTTGTACATGGTTGAACATTTGTACATGGTTGAACACATTTGTACATGGTTGAACATTTGTACATGGTTGAACACATTTGTACATGGTTGAACATTTATACATGGTTGAACATTTGAATTTGTGGTTTACCTCCATCCAAAAAAAAACATGATAATTGGTATACCTTCTATAACTAATGAATTATTAGTTATCATGAGCAACTACTGTTGATTCAACTATATTCATGGGTACCATTTTTGTGGATATTTGATTTCATGATTTTGCCAGCCTACTTACAAGCCTATTGAAAATGTGTACTTCATTGAACATTTAAATCTACCCTTCATCTATACCCACACAATCCATGAAAATAAGTGTCCAACAAAAAATAATGAATCTTCAGTACCTGCTGATAATACCATGATTATCAGGAAATTTCAGTAAATTACAACGTGTCTGTATGAAGGAAGATAATTATCACTTGAACTAAATCAATTATCACTCCCATAAAGGGGAAGTTGTAGGTTTTGATTCCGTCACTGCTGATTTACCGGTAGACCACAGGAAAGGCAAACACTTTAAAGATGTCCTGCTAGACTATTTGTCCATGTTGTAAATTCAATGTGTACAATCAGTTATCTTTCTTTGTACTTTGTTTACATTACCGCATGCAAATAAATGCTGTCATAAATATGCTAAGTGCAAGTTAAAACTTTAAACTTGATGGAAATAAAGGCTGATTCAATCTTGGTTTACAGTTATATGGAATTTTACAGATACATGAATCCAATTGACACTTTCAATTGCTTTCTTTTTCTCCATGGAAAACCATTGTTAGTTTTTAAAATTCACCTATGGAACAAAAATGATTTTAAACAAATGATTCTTTGTACCACTTAAATTCTACATTTTTACAAGAATATGTGTCCATAGACCATCATGCCCTGCTCTCTTGATCAAATTTCCATGTTCAGTTAATGGTCAAAATCACAATTTGGCCTATAATCTAAAAAGATCATATCATAATGAACACGTGTACAAAAGTTTCAAGTTGATGTGACCACAACTTTATGGTTAACTAAACCATGCTAACTTGACCAAAAACTTCTACCTGATAAAGAATGACCAGTCACAGACCAGAAAACATAATGCCCCCAACTATCATAGGTGGGGCATAAACAATCTGAAGCCCTATATACAAAGCTGTTTGGATCTTCTTTTAACAAGCTCAATAAGCTACTTCATGGTTATTGCAGCCATATTGAATAGGGGGCAGATTTTTTGGAAAGAGGTGGATATAGTATGAAAATATGGGAAATCCTATGCATGTTTCCAAGCAACTGTTCTGTTTCAATGATGTTTTCCCATATTTTTAAAACATTTTCACCTCCATTATGAAAATCTGCAACCTATTCAATATGGCTGCACTAAACGTGAAACGTCCTTCTGAAATTGTACATAATGTGACTCTTGAAAAACAAATCAACAAGCAGCATATATTTAATTTTCATTTTATTTTGTTTAAAGCGGAAGTTCTTCAAGATGACTGAATGACGTGGGACATACAATAATGTACAAGTAATATTGAGCCAAGATAATGTACAAAATAATTTACAAAAATAAAACTCTGTATAGACTAAACAGTATCACAGTTCCATCTACGACAGTCACACACATATACACAAACACACACGCACATTTATACATCAAAACTTGAAAATGGCAGCTCCATTGCACATTCAAGCACTTTTTTCATAATCTTGCTGTCAGAATTTCTACCAGATTATTAGAAGTGAATAAGTCCTCTGTTATTTCTTTTTATTAACATTGGATAGGAAAAAATTAGTGTTGTTAATAGATACGTATTCTTTCAAAAAAAAAAAAAAACACTTTCTATTTGCTCATATCATATAAAAAAGTCTGAATTTGGCTACGTAGTGAAATGAATTTCTCAAAACATTTTAACCAAAAAAATGTATATGGAAACCTCTCATTCTAAAAAATGTATCTTTTCTTTTCCAAAAATGTCTGGAAGCTTTCCCAAGAGTTAAATCTGTATAGAAAGAATAAGAGTGTCTTTTCTGACACTAGTTAAGACAGAAATCTTAAAATTGTAAAAAAAAACAAAATCTGGTACAAAGTCCCACAAGCATCAAAAATAAATTTCAAACTGATATACACAGAATAACCAAGCTGTCCACAGCAAGTGTTTGTCACAGTTATATAAACACAAAAAAAAACTTCAACAACAACTGTAAATTGGTCGTCTATGTTTAATTCTCCCGTATTTCTTGCCTACCAAGAGTTAAAGGGAGCTAACTATATATACAAATAACACTCAATTTTACACTTTGTACAGGAGGGATTTATACATTGTTTCTTTTAACAAAAAAATCTAACAACAACTGTACACAACAAAGTTTTTTTTTGTTTTACTTATTTACAACTGTTTTTATGTACAAAAGGGGAGATAACAAAAAAAAACCCACTCTCATCCCAATAAATAATTTTTTTCCATTCATCTTTTTTTCATTCACATCTTTGGCCTGTTTAATATGATAGGTTGAGGTGACGATATGTTTTAACTATTTAATAACACTAAGCTTGATTACATGAACATCTAGTATGGTGGCATATAAACATTATGCCGCATAAAATGGGTGCCACTATTTCTAGGCATGCTTAAACTATCTATTATAAAGTAAACCTCAAATTCAAATGATAATGAGATGAGTTAGAGCAAAAAAATTTTTTCTGTTCATTTCATATTACAAAATTGGCCAAATATAAGCAGATATTATTTTGGGGTTCTCCAAGAATCTGTTTTTACTTTTGAAAATTCTGTGTTTTTACTTTTGAATACATTTCTGGTTCTGTATAAATGAAAGCAATAATGACATAAATGCTATAATGAAAATGGTCTATCTGATAAACTGCTGCCTTCAAATGCAAAAAAAAATGAGAAAAAAAAATTAAACAATGCAATTCCTTACTAAGCTTGACAAAAAAGTTTTACTAATTAGAAAAACATTATCCATTATAAACTGACCTTAGAAAAAAAGTTTATATAAAGCAAAACTTTAATTTAAATTCTAAATTTTAAAAGTTCACAAAAACTTCTAATAGTGAAAAATTCATATTATAAAATTTATAAATATATCTTCAAAAGTGCAGTTTAAAAGAAAACAAAGAAAAGGAAAACATACAAGCAAATCATTAATACAGTTTGTTCTAAATGACTCAAGAATACTGTTAAAATATTACAAGTGACCCAGCACTTCTTGACAATCACTTCCCTAAATTTCCAACGAAAGTTTTAACGAATTGTAAGCTGCCTTCCAAACATTGCTCAAACTAATTATAATGATATAAGAATATGAACTAACGATGAAAAAAAATTGCCCTATGACGAATTCACCAATTCTAAATGTACTGAGATCATTACTGACGCCATTACCTACGTCCTGTCACATGTTACAGTGTCTATCACCAAGGTGATTATGCCAGCCGTATGGCTCAAGTCCTATATCCATGGATTTCTATTTTGAAAAGCATTCACAATATGCTCAAAGTTATTAATTCCACATCATTCAGTCTCAAAAAAACGAACAGCTTTCCAGGCAGAATATATAAAAAAAAAAAATCTATAATCCTGAGAAAACAAATAAAAATAAATATCTATGTCCCTCACGAATGTGGAACGTGATACCACAAAGCTGAGAAAAAAATGCCAACTCAAAAACTCAAAATGGCAACATTCTTGGTTATTTTTAAAAATCCAGTGTATGAAGAAATTTCCATCAATCACAATATATACCACATCAAATTGAAATATTCTATGAAATTTTAATTCCACCGAAATAATGGAACACGATATTGAATTGATTATCTCTCTGAAAATATTAATCCCAGCGAGAAGTCTTTTCATACAATTAGAACATTATTAAATAAATCCACAAGCAGTTGACAATAGCAATATACAATTCACTACTGCATGAAGTACTAGCACTTTTTATTATCCAAGTTAGAGAATAAATGTACAAGTATATCCCAATATAAGTAATACATAATCCATATTGAGAACTGGTCAAATTCTCGTTATCTAAACCATTCTATTACATATACATAATTAGTATGTAAGTTGTATTTTTTTTAAAGAATATTTCATAGTTTGTTATCATTATATTAGCATAATAATATATCCATGTTATTTCCTTCTACATAATCTTCCACATAAACTCCAATCAAAAATATCTATATAAACTGATTTTATACAAAAATCCAATTTAATAATCCGTTCTCCATTATTAACATTAAACGTGTGTAGCACTTTTAAGTTAAATCCAGTGTCATTTTGAGAAATATATCCTCAGTCCAATCCAGTGTTCAATAATGTCATGTCCGGGAGTGAGTCAAATCCATGATATATTCCGTGATGGCACAAATAACCATCTTATAAAATCTAAGCCACTGTTGTAATGATGACTAAAAGATGGCTCAGGTTGCGAACTTGATGTAATAGCTCAAATCCCAATCTACCCAAAGTCTCGTGTGAAAACTCACATGGGGGAAATATGTGTACCACATAGGCAGGCTGAAAAAGAAAACATTTGACTTGTATATAAAATAATATTTTGATTGACAAAATGACATTTACTGAGACTGGTGTTTTTTTCATTGTTTTTTTCTTTGACTTATGATTTTGGTGGTCTTTTTGGTTTCTTCTGGTTATTTTTTATCCTCTGATGATTTTTTTTCTTCTAATATAAATATATAACTATTTAACCATCATTTTGATAATTGTCAAGAGACTTTATAACTTGCATTTATATATAAAACCTTATGATTTACTCTTATTTTATCAATTTATCAAAAACTAAGAAGAAATATCATACAATCTTAAATCAAGAACATTTTTCGTTTTTCTGATTTGCAAAAGCCATACCTGTTGAGAGCCAGGGTCAGCAACATTGACAATTCCAGCAGCTTGCTTCTGTTGCAAATACTGTATAAAGCCTGTTGACATGGCTCTGGTCTGGTAGATGATGTCATCATGGTCACTTCCACAGGGTAGTGCCAACAGCATACAGTAATCTTTGTCATACTGGAAAGGAAATGAATTACTCCATTTATTTCACTTGATAAGGCAGAAATAATTACATATTTCTAATCATAAAAACAAATGTATCACAAAACATTCCTGGACAATTGTAAACAGTGACATGAAAATAAATTTTTGATCATATTTTCTCTTTATTATCTACCTTTTTAAGATACACTCAATGGGTTGGAATTTATTTCAATACAACATCAGGGTATTGCCAAAATACGTATCTAGCATTAATCTTTATAATACTTAAATTCAACTTTCAAACTTAATATACTATGGAATCATTATTTTTCGTAGAGTACTAACTCCGAAGATTTCTTAGGCATAGCTAAAACAGAGATAAAGTATTCACCAGAGTACAAATTTTCTGTAAGCTTGTCTGTAGAATATTTCAAAACAATCAAATCAAGTATCCATGAAATAAAAAATTTCCTAAATCAATGAAAATTAGCTCCACCATAAATAAACTGAACTTAAAGACAATTTTCTAGTTCTCTTAGAATCTTACCTGCATTCTTTTAATAACCCCTTCCAGCTGTGCTGCTTCAAGTCTCATTCTCTGGGCAATCCTCAATGGCTGGCATGTCCCTTCTACAACCTGTTGTGGGAGAGCCGTCTGGACGAGGGAATTAAATCCAGAAATCACATGCATCTGTACAGCACAGCTGTCATTCTTCAGCGCCAATGTTCCCTGCCACATTACTGGATACCGCTGCAATAGAAATTAAGTTTACATATTTTATGTTTAATAATAGTTTATTAAGATGGACAATATCTAAAATATGGATAAATACCATGCATCAAAAATTGGGATTTAGAAGAAAAAAAGACTCAAGAGAAATTTTTAAAGCTGACTTTGTGTGATCACTTGCTATTTTGATGGCCGATTTTTTTATCACTTGCAATTTATTTTAAATTTGTTGTCAACTGTTTTTTAATTTACTGAATTGGTTATTATATGGTAATTTGATAACTGTATCAGAGCCCAAATGCTATTTTTGAGTACTGATTTGCAAATACAAAGTGTCTATTTGGATGCTTTTAATTTCCGTTTTTCTTTTAATTTTGTTTTTTCATGTTTTAAAAGTAATGGAAGTTATTTTTCAACTATATATTCTGTATTTAAATATCTGAAGGAGAAAATATGACAACCCAAAAGGGGTTCAACAATTTCTATGTATGTGTAATGAATTTCTGTATGGGATAGATCCTACTGAAAAAAATCCCTTTTATGTCATTCAATTCTGGTATAAAATTAAAGACAGCTGATCCTAAAATACCAACCTGTAACAGACTGAGTAAGCTCCCCTCTCCACCAGGTGGAGGATCAGGCATTTGTCTGTTCTGCTGGGTTGGAATGGCTGGACTCTTGGCAACTGCTTGATGGGCCTGCCTAGGTGGTGGTGACCTCATACCATGGCTACTACCTCCCTGTGATGGAGGCCTTTGATCTGCTAAGTGTGGATGGTCTATTGGCAATCCACCAACCTGTCCAAGATACGGGTGAGGCAGCCCAAGTGGGTATCCTTGTGGATACATATGTGGGTCGAGTAGATGTGGCATCCGAAGTGCTGCAGCAGCATGTATCCTCTGTTGGAATTCTGGGTCCCTGTACAGGTGTGCTGGTATTCCCTGAATGAGTTCGCCAGAGGGTGCAGCAAATGCACCATGACCTCTGGGTCCTGCCCGGAGTTCTTGGAGGTGGTGAAGATTTCTAGGGTCCATGACACTTGGTCCACTTTCTGAATGATTAGGCAAGTGACTAGACCTTGGCTTGCCTGGCACTGAAGCTGTTTGACGGTCTCTGTCAGACTGTTGAGAAGTACTGGCTGATGTTGACGGAACACCTTCTCGTGACTTCAAGGCGGCCTGGCGTATTAGTTCTTCCCTCCTTTCTATTTCTTGCCTCTGAATCTCTTGCAGTTTGGCATGATCTTGTTGCTGCTGCATCCTTATCATTTCTTGTTGTTTGTGTTGTTCGATAAGACGGATAGCCTCTTGATGAGTCTTACTGCTGGAGTCTAAATTCTGTTGGTGAGCCGGTTTGGGTTGCTGACTGCCACTATATCCTGTAAAATAAGAATTAACCGTAATGAATCAATCGTCTTTTTAAAAGAATTGATCTACTGCAAACTTTTATTAAAGTTTCTGCATTGTTTATTACAATCTGGTTTTTTTACATTAATATCTTCTGTTCAGTGAAAGCATGTCACCAATTCAGTGTCCAGAAGATATATATATACACCACATAAATTACTGTATATTCATATCTAGATGCATTTTGGTTATTTGTGTTGTTGAGTTGCTGTCTCATTGTGGTTTTGAAACACAACATGAGATAAAGACGTTTACTGCAAAAAGCACAATTATGCTATAGCATATTTAAATTACAACATTATCATGTGTAAGCAACATGAAATTTATAATAATATAATAATATATAGTTATATAAAACAGCAGAGAACACAATAAACTTTATGAACACTTTGTTTATGAAAAAGACAATATGTATATATATATATATATATATATATATATAACTATGTTAATGTATATTTGCATATTGACAAAAGAATAGAAATCTTTTAGTTGACAAAACGTTAATTTATTTATAACAAAAATATTTTAGTTTTGACTCTTGATAATTGTCTACTTCATACAACATGTGTCTGTTTTTTTGTCATTATGACTCGTATTGTTGTTTTCAAACATACAAGATCAAGTGTTAATTTTTCTTTGTTTGGCATACAAGTTAAATGGCAATGCATAAAATCTATATACTTCACAGCATTGAAAGGCGTCACAAAGTATGAATTCATTGGCTTATTAATATTACAATTCTAATTATCAGCTAATTGAACTTGAGAACAAATAAATGCATCATACAAAATGCTATTTCTAACAAGTAAGATAGATAATGCTAATTCTAACCAAATGTATTATCAGAAAAAATCAATTGAGTTTATTAAAGACAAATAAAATGTTCATAAATTTGAATCCAGTTTATCAAACACAAATAAAACGCTAATAAATTTGAATCCACTTTATTTAACACAAATAGAATGTTAATAAATTTGACTGGATAATGAGTTAACTACTTTGTGCTTTCTGTAAATAAGGTCAAAATAAAAACACTGAAAAATATCCTTCTATATATCGCATAAACGTGTGAAAACATACCCCAGTGTTTAGGAGATGGTGATGGTTCACCAGATGATGGTCCGGACCTTTGGGCTTCAGATATCTCACTGGTCCATTGATTCTGATTAAACTTCTCATTCAACTGCTGCAAAAAAAAGTCAGAATTTATTGAATACTCATTTTAACAAGTGTGTTCTCTTTAAAAGGAACAGAAATTTTCTAGCTTTCTCTTTTTCAAAAATTTCGTTTGAATATACAATATGATATTTAAAGAAAATCTGTTTTTTCTTCATTTTTTAATAAAAATTTGGTATTTTGAGAAAAACATATATTTACATTTAATAATATAATAGTTCTACTGATCTTAATGCAGAAATTCATAATTAAATGCTACAAATTAAATCTGATTTTAATCTTCTTATAACAAAACTGTTAAATATACCTTTTTCATTCCTGGACTAATTGGTCTAGCCTGAGATGTGGATGGCTGTGAGAAGACAGGATGTGGACTTGGTGCAGTCTGTGCCAAAGCAGGAGACTTGATCTGAGGATTAGACGACTGTGATGCTATACTGGTTGCAAACATACTGGACGGCTGGTGAGCAATGCCAGGTGACACCATTTCTTTCGGTGGATGGCTCTTGTGTCCTTTCTTTTCCTCCATCTTGGCTGCAGCCATCTGCTGTTGTTGGTGGTACATTTGAAGAATCTGTGGTGGAATGGCACCAGGATGAATCATGCCTTTTCCCATCAAGTTCCTAATTTGTTCCTGCAACATTTGATTTTCGTGAGCACTATGAGGCCTCTGTGGTTCATTTGACTGTGGCTTTTGACTGTGAGCACTTGGTGGTCTCTGCAAGGGCTCATTTGGTTGTGGCAGTTCTGCTTTATGTGACTGTTTCCCTTTGGGTGTCTTTTCTGGTTTGTGCTGTATGTGATTTGCCATGACATGCGGCTGGCCCATCAAGTGCATCATGGGCTGATTATGCAAGGCAACCATGTTACGCATATGTTGTTCCTTCTCCATAAGGGCTTGGCTTAGATGCATGTGAGCTGGTGGAATTGAGTGTCCACTGCTTGTCGTCGACACCACTGGTGCCCGGCTTACTGCTGATGCCTGCATCATCTGTTGATGCTGCAATAGTTTTGGATCCATTGTTTTTCCAGACGATGTGGTAATAGGATGCACAACACATGTCGGTGCAGATGATGTAACCTGAGGTTGTTTTTCAGAACTACTAGCTGGAATCGGTCTACTATGCTCTTGCAGGTTTTCTGGTCTTGAGAAAGGTGGATTTGAGAGAAATCCATGTGGAAATGCCTGCTTATTGTCTGGCATCCTTGGCATTGAAACTTGGTGAGCAGAAACAGGTGCTTGGGATGGAATAGCTGATGGATGAAGACCCATCTGCTGGAGATAAGCCTCAGTGTTTGGAGGCTTGACCGTAACTGTTCTACCTGCCAAAACTGTGGTATTGCCACTGCTGGTGACCATTGGTTTCTGTGATGACATTACAACTGATGGTCCAGGACTATGCTGAGCTATTGTTGTGGTGGTCGTCTGAGTAACGACAGCTGCAGTGGATAGGGAATGGGCAGCAGAGGTCATAACGTCGACACGAGAGGTCATGTTAAGTGCCATATCCAAAGGTTTGTTCTTCGTGGTTGTGATCTGGGATGTAGGTCTGGCCTGACTAAAGGATGTGACTGCTTGCTCACCCATTTGTACTGAAAAAAAAAAAAAAAGATATTTTGAATTCATAAATAATCTTAAAATATTCCATGCAAAGAGGAACACATTCTATGTATGTACTACTTGATAATATTCACCTGACTGTGTGTGGTGAAAATAACCACAATCTATTCATCTAAGATTTAACTTTGTTTCTTTTAAATTTATTCACATATTTTATAGGATGATGTAGAATTAACATATTGTGTAAGACACCTGTGTATTGTTAATGACTGTATGTTGCCCTCTAGATGTCTTGTGGTTTTTGTTGTTGTGTTGCTGTCTCATTGACCTTAACTCAACATCTCCTTTTAATTCCGAATGCAAAACTGGTAAGATTGATATTTTTTTAAACATTTCATTTACTGTAAAGCTTTCTTCTTCTAATTCTAAAATATAATCATGAAAATGTTGGCTTGTGTGAATTTGATCTTAAAGGATTATTAGAATAAGTGACAAAAAAAACATGGAAATAAAACCTCACAAACTGGTATGGTTCTGTACATCGCAAATTTTTTTATTTTTTTTTTAAATAAACCACTTTTCAGTATGTTTTTACAAAAATTTAGTAACAGAATTTTACAAAAATTAACATAAATCATATCTGTGGTTATGGAAAATAAACATCTCTACAATTTAAAACTTACCTTGGCTTGAATGACTGCTTGAGGTACAAGCAACACTAACTGGTATACTGGCAGAGGTTAATGGAGGAGTCTGAACTGGTGGGTGACCTTGTGACATAGACATGACATTTGACCCAAAAGGTGATGATGCCATTGGTGGCTGTACAAGACTAGGCGAAGACTTGGCAAGTCCAAGATCATGTCCTGGCAGTGATGTCATAGGTGGTGGCATCATGTCTAGTTCTCCTATGTGACGGTTTTGAGTATGCCTCTTCTTTGTTGGCTGCAGGGCAATAGGCATACTGTCTGTGACCTTGGGCATCATGTTTGCCATGCTCATCATTATCTGCTCCTTAGTTGGTTCTATCTGACCGTTTCCTTTATTCCAGTCAAAGATTCCTTTGGACACATCATCGATAATTCTATCGACATTGCTCATCTTATCCATACATAAGTTCGCCATTGTTGGTGCAGAGTTGGATGCTACAGAAGCAATAGTGGACATGATGGACGATGTAGTGGCACAAGAGACTTTGGTCAAACTTTCAAGATCTTTCTTTTCCTTGATGCTTGGAATGGTACTGTCTATTATGGTAGCTGTATTGATCATACTACTAATGCTGTTTGTGGTATTGGTTGACATCCCGGTGGTGTGTGTCAAAGCAATTCTCAACTTTAAAGGATGATTACCATTCTTGTCCGATTCACTATCTTTCTTACACTGCCATCTGCCTTCAAGAGGTGAAACAATGTGATTAGGGCCATTAGGTGAAATTTTAACTTCAGGAGTTGGCGGTTGTGGAGGTAAAATGGTGTCTTGGGTATTTCGTCGACCTTTCTTGGGCCTTGTTGCCTTGAGTGGTGTAGTGACAATTTTCAGTTCTGGCTCATTATCATCAAAATCAAAGACATTGGTGGCCTCTTTGCTAGCAGGTTTGACAATCTCTTCAATCATTTTCTTTGTACCAGTAAGACCTAGATGTTCTGATTGATTCTCAACAGCTTCAATCATTTGTTGTTTCCCATCAATTGCTTCATTCAACAGTTCGCCCTCTGGTCTCACATTTTTATTGCAGCTGAATGGAAGTCTTTCAATCTTTACAAAAGGTGCTGTAAATTCTGCCTTTGGTGAACTAAGTGGTGACAAAGCTTGCCTGGGTGACATGCCAGTCCTTGGAGATCTCGGAGACGACCTTGATCTAGGAGAAGTTGTGCGACCATGGACACCAGAATTCATCTCCTTGTAGTTCTGTTGTTTGCGCCCCCTGCGAGTACGTTTATCGGCATTGCTGCCTCCTTCATCACCAGATACACGTAGGTTGTCTGCATCTTCATGTTTCTCAGCATCAAAGTTGTATGGTTGAGGTAACTTCTCTTCATTCTCCTTTTCACTTGCGTCACCACCTTGTAAGCTGTGAGTCAAATGGAGGCTATGATCAACTGCATTATAAACTGGGGGATAAAAGGTTCCAGGGACTTCTACCTGGTGATTGGCCTTGGCATTTGCCTTTTGTTTGCGAGTTTTTCTGTATGGTTCTGGTTTTTGAACTTCTGGAATTTGTTTGGAGATGATTTGTTTGGGATCTGATATCTGTCCATAAAACTGAGCTTGTAAATCTTGCTGAACAGGCATTGGCTGCTCTGGTTGAATATTAAACATCTGGTTGTTATCTTTCACTACTTGACCTACTGATCTAACTGGTTGTTCTTTTTGTGCATTAAGCAATTCAATCTGCTCTTTGGCTTTCTGATTTCTTCTTGATTTTGGTTTTTCTTTATGTTCTAATGGCTTCTCCTGCACTGCTGGCATTGCAGGCAAAATTGTTTCCTTTTTGGGCTCAACTGTTACAGATATTGGTTCAGGTACAGATACTGGCTTCTCTTGAATTGGCGCTGTCACTAGCTTCTCCTGAATTGGTGCTACTACTGGCTTCTCCTGATTTGATGCTGTTATTGGCAAGTTGATGTCATTCTGAGGCTCAACTTGCTCAGGTGCAGATGTATCAATCACCAAGTCATTCTCAGATCCAATACTACTATCAAGAGGGTTTGTCTCCAATGTTATTTGTTCTGGCTCTATCACAACATTTTCTGGTGGCACTTCTGGCTGTGGTTCCACATGAGAATTCTGTTGAGGCAGTGACTCAGGAAAAACGCCAGCCTTTTCATCAAATTGCAAAATGGACAAAATTGCTAGGTCAGTCTCATTCTGTGCTTGCTCAGCCAGAACTGGTTCTTCTGTGACTGTCTCTACTGCAGCAGTTGTCTCATCAATAACCAGGTCTCCATCTTGGTAATTATCAACTTCAGGGGTGACAACAGATGGCGTCTCTGTAATCTTCTGCAAACTTGAGACAGCTTCTTCCACAATTTCTTCCCTTGATTTCTCTGGTACTTCTGGTTTTTCTGGAATCTTTTCCTCCACTTTGCCTTTTTTCTCTTCATTACATTTGTCTGTATGAACATCCGACTTGGCTGTCAAATTGTCGGTGAAAATATCTATTTTCTTGCTGTATGCATCTTCCTTTCCAGCTATCAATTCCTGCCATTTTTCCTCAGCTGATGAAATTTCCTTCGATTTAACCTCCATGTCCTTCTTATGGATATCGGTAAAGGATTCAAAATCTACATGACCAACGACCATGTCTCTCCTATATTTATCTTTTGGACTTATAATTTCAGACTTTGTTGGACTAGTCAAGCTTTTACAACTCTCATCATCAGATTTCACCATTCCCTTTGGACTAGCGAAGCCCATTATATTCTTGGCCTCTTCCTTACAAGCCTCTTTGACATGCTTTGAACTGAACATGCTTGTAATACTTGTTTCATCAATCTTGCTCCCTGGGTTTGGACCAAAAAGACTATCTTTAATAGATTCCTCAAGCTTTTCAATATTTTTAGCTTCTTCTGATTTAATTTTATCCTTTTTATCTTTGTGTCCAGATTTTTTACCATCTTCTATATCTGTATGAGACTCAGAATCCTCAGATTTTTCCTCAGAAGAAAGCCTATTTTCTTTCTTTCCATCTGGTTTATCTTTCTTCGTAGCAGCAGCTTTCTTTGTCATTTCTTCTTTCATCTTGAAGAAGTCGGCAAATAGTGGTTTGTTGTCATCTTCTTCTTCATCTTGGAACTCGAATACATCAGAATTATGCATAGCCCCAGCTGCCAATTTGCCAACAAGTTCCTCCAGCTTAGGACCATTTTCTTTTGTAATCATTTCTGTGGTACCATCTTTCTTCTTTCTATCCTTCTTTTTGGGAGTTTTCCCTTCACTCTTTACTGCCTCCTTCTTTGGTGTTTTTTGCTCATCATCTTTGTTTTTCTTTTGCTTCTTCTCCTTCTCCTTCTTCTTTGGTATATCATCTAACTTTGACTCTTCAAGTATTGGGAAGTCTTCAAAGAATCCAAAGCCTATCTTATATCCAATGTCTTTCTCAACTTTGTTATTATGTTTTTTAAGAAGCCCATCATCCATATCCAGTTTGCTTGTTGGTTTCTTGGCAATCATGTCTTCAATTTCAATTTTGTTGATTTTCTTCTTTGAAATGCCATCAATGGACTCTATTTTGTTATTAACTTTCTTTGCTGTATCCACATCCTTCTTCTCTGACACTTCTGGTGTGACCTTGAGAACTGAATCCAAGGTTGTACTATCATGTTTCTTCTTTTTCATTTTATTGGGTTTAGTTTTGACTGATTGATCAGATTTCTTATCATCAGCATCTTTTCTACTTTCACTTTCAGATTTGATCACATGATCTGTTGAATGAGATTTACTTTCCTTGTCTGTTTCCGTTTCACTCGAGAATGTATGGTCCATCTTGTCCAACTTTGTTGTTTTACTCTTTGTGCTAGTTTTCTCATGATCTTGTTTGGATGTCTTATTCAATTTTGTCGAGTCATGCTTCGTTGGTTTTTCAAGTTTATTCATGTTATTAACAAGCTTCTCAGCTTGGCTAATTTCTTCCTCGTCAAGATAAGGCAGGTCTTTTGGAGATTTCCCTTCCTTCTTGTGTTTACCATTTTTATCTTTGGATTCACCATGAGTAGGAATCAAGTTTTCCATTTTCTCAAACAGACCTTTGCCATCTTCTCCAACCTTCTTGTCATCAGATTTAATGATTTCATTCTTTTTAGATTTCTTTTTCATCTTTTCTTTCTTCTTTATATCATCTTTCTTCTCGCCAAGATCTTCATTACGAATGGTTTGAGCTATAACCCCAGCACCAACAGTGACAGCAGGTTTTTTACTGTCCAAAGTATGATTTTTCTTCGTTACACAGTTCTTTTTAGGTGATAAATCTGGGAAACTTGAATCTGAATCAGATGTGAGATCAGACAAAATTGTGAGTTTCTTTGCAGCCGGTTTGGTCTCCGTCTTTGCCATACTACTTTTATTCGGTGAAAACAAATGGTTATCAGAATCATCTGTTGTAGTATCAAACCTCCTAGCATTAGGTGTAACAGGATCTTTGACAGGTTCTTTCTTTTTCTGATTTTTCAATTTTATTCGATCAAAAATGTCCATTTCACTATCTACATCTATCATGTCTGACTCATGTGTATCTGTTTGTGTAGTTGCAGGTGGTGGTTTGACATCAGACTTCTTCTTTGGTGTAGATTTAGGTTTAGGCTTGCTTGATATTGATTTCTTCTTTTTCTGTTTTTCTTTGCCGTGTTCCAAATCACTATCAGTGTCATGGTGTATCTGAGGTTTTTTACTTTTTGTTTTGGTCTTTTTGATCTTTTTCTTTGCAGGAGATATTGGTGGAAAGTCAATATCCGTTTCTGATGAATCTGACGAGTAGATGTCATTGACAGAATGCTTGTTACTTTTCCCTGTCAAACCTTTACTTTTCTCTTTGTTGTTTAAAGAGTTTTTCTGGAATGATTTATAGAACTGACTATCATCATCATCTGACGATGTTGAAGTGTCAATAACACATCTTTTACGTTTTGGTCCATTATCACTTTTGTCATTTACAACCTCTTTGTTCGGTTTAGCTACTTTTTCTTCCTCAAAAGCATCAGTTTCCTCGGCACTGTCATGCGAGAAATCAGAATCGTCAGAGTCACCAAACTTATTGTGTTTCTTATTATTGCGACGCTTTGCTAGGTTATTAAAACCTCTCTTCATAGTAACCTGCATTTCTCTTTCTTTGTCTTTTTCACTAGATTTCCGTTTAACACGATCATACATTGAAACATATGGTTCCTCCACCCAAGCAGACCAATCAAATTCAACTTCCTTTTTAGGTGTCTTTTTGTGTTTATCTTCCTTTGGTGATGTCTTCTCTTCCTTTTTACTGTCCTTGTCCTTCTTAGAACTTTTTCTGTCGCTAGATTTACTGTCAGACTTCTTTTCTGAGCTAGACTTTTTACCACTACTCTTACTCGATGATTTTGAATTTTCTCCACTTTTCTTTCTTTCTTTCTTCGACTCAGACTTATCAGAACTTTTTGACAGAGAGTCAGTATTTCCTGAACTATTCTCACTTTTACCATCATTCTTGTTCTCAGATTTTTCTGACTTGTTGTCATGGTTATTTCCATTATTCTCTTTTTTGTCAGATGAATTAGATCCCTCGTTAGTGGTTTTACTAGCGTTAGAACTGTCAGTTGAGGTTTTACTAGCATTAGAACTGTCTGTTGAGGTTTTACTAGTGTTAGAACTGTCAGTTGAATTTTTACTAGCATTAGAACTGTCAGTTGATGTTTTACTAGCGTTAGAACTGTCAGTTGAGGTTTTACTAGCGTTAGAACTGTCTGTTGAGGTTTTACTAGCATTTGAACTTTTGTTGTCACCATTTCCCTCTTTCTTGGGATCTGACTTTGATCTGTCTTCATCTTTCTTATTGTTATCTTTATGGCTTTTATCCTTTGTTGTTTTGTCTATAGAGGATGCTGCTGTTGGAGATTTCATTTTATCCTCCTTTGACTTTTTACCATGACTCCCATCAGTGTGTTTCGTCTTTTCTTTGGTCTTTGTTGATGATTCTGTTGATTTTGGTTTCTCATGGTCACCTTTTTCTTTTTTAAGAGTACTACCATTACCAGATTTTTCTTTCTGTTTTCCATTTTCAGATTTTTCTTTCGTCTTGACATCATCAGAAGACTTTAATTTCTCAGCACTTTTTGCCAATTCACTATCAGTTGTTTTCAATTCATTCTTGACATTACTGTCAGGTTCTGGTGGTTTTTCTGCAGTTGTTTGCTTGGTTTCTGCAGATTTGTCTTTGGATTTAACATTTTCTGAAGAGGTTTTGTCCTTTAGCTTTGTATGTTTTGTTTTTTCTGCCGACTTTTCCTTTTTTGAATTATCATGACTAGATTTAGTTTTGTGCTGTTCAGAAGTCTCACTTTTAGCTTTGTGTTTTGCCGATTCACCACTTTTTTCCTTCGACTTATCTACCTTAGGTTTATGTTTATTGTCTACATTAGATTTTTCTTTTGGTTTTTCACTAGTTGTTGGTACAGTTTTATCCTTGGTCACATCAGTTGATTTTTCTTTCTCCTTTAAAATTTCACTGGATTTTTCAATCTTCTCTTTATTAGCATCTTGAGATTTTTCTGAAGATTTAATCTCACTTTCTTTCGTTTCCTTTTTATCTGTATTTTCTGTGGATGGTACAGTTTCTTTAACTTGATCTTTTGTCTGCTCAACTTTCTCAGTTGACCCACTTTTTGATGCTTTTCCAGATGACTTTCCGCTTCCATCTTTTTGTTTTGATGAATCTTTAGTTTTATGACTAGATTTAGTTTTATCCTTTGTCTTAGAATCACTAGATTTACTTTCTTTCTTATGAGCTGAATCTGTCTTACTCTCTGAGGACTTCTTGGATGAGGATCCTTCACTTTTCTTTTCCTTTTTTGCTGTATTATGCTCAGTTTTTTTATCAGTATCTTTTTTACTTTGTAATTTATCAATATCTTTTCCTTCAGTCTTATTTAGAGTTTCCTTTTTAACAAAATCTGACGGCAACTTTACTGATTTATCGTCAACTTTACTTTCATTTTCAACATTCTTTGCCGAACTTTTAGTTTTATCACCATCATGGTCCTTATCCTTTTTATCATTAAATTCTTTATCTTTGTTCATAGAATCACACTCAGACTTGTCCTTCTTTTTATTTTCTTTGTTTTTCTTATCACTGTCTTTTTTAAGTTTATCCGATTTAGCACTTTCACTGTGAGTCGGTGAATTCGTTTCAGACTTGTCTTTCTCAGGTGTTGATATTTTAGCCCGCTTAGATTCTGGGCTTTCTGATCCACTTTTGACATCAGACTTAGAACTTTCCTTATCCATATCAGTTGATGAAATAGTCTTACTCTCAGTGTTTTTAATTTTATCCTTTTTAGAAGGTGTCTCTGATTTACGTTTACGTTCAATTGAAACAGTTGATGAAATTTCGGCAGATGAATCCTCACCGTTATCACTTTTAGATATTTTACTTCCCAAAATATGATCAGACGCTATATCATTTTTAAGTACAGAGTCACTTTTCACTTCTATTTTAGATGAATTCATATCAAGAGATTTGGATGGTGATTTTCTCGTATCAAACTTCTTATTTAAATCCATATTATCATCAGCAATTTTATTCGTCTTATTATATAAAGCATTCTTAGAATTTAAACGAGGATCTACTTTAACATTAGAATCTACTGGAGAAAGATTGTCTGATTTCTCAGCAGATTCAATTGCAGATTCTACCATTGTTCTCGTTGACAAAGATGTTTTATTTATTCCATTGTCTATAGAGTTAAATCTAGGAGAATAGTTAATTATTACAGGATTTTGTACATCCATTCGATCGGATATATTATATATTCTATTGTCACTATTATATGAACACATATCAGCAGTTTTATTTTCCTGAGAATTTTGATCATGTGAAAAAGGTCCTTTTAAAGATCCTGGCGATAATGAATTAACTGGTTTATCATCAATTTTAACACTTAACGGTACATTTGGTTGAGTATTGACTGACAATGTTGGGAATGACGACCCACCATTCCCCAAACGTCCAGCTAATGAACCCGGCAGGGTAGACAAAGGCATTTCCTTTGTCTCTGCTTTAGTCCTTAATGTCACACCTTTAGGAGAATCTTCTGCGTTTGACACAACCGATTTCATATTCGGAGAATATTTCTCATTAATTTGTTCTAGTCTCTTTGAGTCGAGATCAAATATACTACTACGATTAAGCATTGTTTTTACGATTTCTGATGATGGTTTATCTCCCTTTTCACCACTCTCTTCCTGACCTACTCCATTAGAATCTTGACGTTTCTTAATCTTAAACTTAGAGTAAATGTTTGATGGTGGATTTGACGATGACATATTTATTCCAATTGAAGTAGATGACACATTTTCAGTTCCTAGTTTAGATGGTTGTGTTGTAGGAAGCTGATTTAGTTTTTCATCCAGTTTACGAATGCGCTCTTCAAGACAAAAATCATCATTATGATCACTTCCATCGGATAAACCTTCGTCCAAATCTACTTCAGTATGAGGTTTAACAGCTTCCATATCCTGATTTTCCAATGTATCAATAGATGGTTCATTTGAATTATTTGAAATTTCTTCTGGTATATAAGTAGGCTCTTGATTACTAAGAGTATGTGACTCCTCAGAATTGGTGTCATTCGGTGATAGCTGTGGTGATTCGTTCTTACTGCCACTACTTGGAGGTGAAAAACATGGAGAATCCTCTTTCGAAACATCTCCCGAATTTTCCGAGTGTGGCGAATTTAGTTTAACAGGAGGAGTATACTCTGCAAATTTAGGTAGTGGAAGACAAAAATCTTCTTCACATTTTTCTTTTGGCACACGGGGATCAGGAATATCAGTCACTAAAATGTCCTCTCCTAAAGGAATAATCACAGGACTAGAATGATCATCTTTACTCCGTCGTTTACCAGACGAGTCAAGTTTCTTAAACGTTAATGACTGTTCAGATTCACTAAGTCTATGATCAATACTTTCAAGAGACAGATGACCTGTAATAGGTGTACGTGGTGACGAATGTCCACTAGAAAGACGACGTATACTCCCTAATGAACCCACTGAATCAGTTCGTGTAACATTTCTAGCACTTTCCTCATTGTCACTACTCATACGTTCATCTTCTATTTCACGTTTTTGACGGTACATTCTGCTTTTTTCATCAGACACCTCAGTCTTTTTACGCTTTTTCACAAATGCTGTTGGTACATCTTTCGGTGAAAGTAATCCCTGTGGAATTAAATCCTCCTTATCATCGTCATAACTATATATATCGTTCTTTTTAGATTTAAAAGAGTCATCTTTCACAGATTTTTCTTCATTTTTACGTATAGTTTCCATTTGTTTACGATAACTCTGGGAAACATCATATGATTTCTCTTTCTTAGGTCCAAGAATCACACTTCCAAGTTCACTCTGAAGCCGTTGTCCACTTGCACTTTTCCCTGACCAAGGATCCAGCCTTGGTCTTTTTAATGGGGATTTTTTCAAAGCGTCTAAATCCAAACGTTCACTGTCACTATTATTAGTATCTTCACACATTTTAATTTTCTCTAACAGAAGTTGTCGTTCATGTTTTAACTTTGATAGATCTCCACCTGTTAATGATCCTCGATCAGAATCACTACTATTAGAACTACATTGTCCTTCACTTTTATTACCGATTTCTGACTGAAGTTTCTTCATTTTGTGAAACAAGTCTCTTTTAGAGTCTGATAACTTATCGTGACTTCCATGACTTAATTGTCTGTCTAATTTCCGAACACTAGTATCCTCTTTAGATATTGAGTCTCGTGTAAAAGAGTCATCATATGATCGCTTGCGAGAATATCTTTCTTCTGACCGTGATAAAGATTCTTTCCTATGAGCACTATATTTATTAGTTGTCCGTAATTCTTGAATATCAGCTTCTGTTATATCGAAATCGTCTTTTCCTGATCTTTTTTTATCACTAATTTTACTGTCCATTTCAGACGGACTCTGTTCCTGTGATGAAAAGTCCTGAGTATCCTCCCCTCCAAGAGGGGTCGGTGGTGTGTTTCTTTCTGGGTCTTTCACACGATTGCGTGTGGGAGAATTACTCCACTCACGACCATGAAAGGATCCCTCTGGACTAGCTTCACGAGATCCTATCACATATCGTTCCTTATAATATATTTCGTCTCTGTTTTTATAGTCATAAGTATCGTCACTTCCTGGACTTCCTCCAGGATATTCAGCATACCGTGTCTTATATTCACGATATGATTCGTTATACATATCGTCACTATATTGGTCGGGACTACAACTACGCTGACGCTCTCGCTGAGTTCTATATGCATGTAAATCGGTTTCAAAGTCACCTTCACTGTATGGAGTCCCACCTCCACCTCCTTGACTGTATTCTTCATTATACCTAAGAATACAAAAAGAAAAATAGGATTAATTGCCAAACAAACTAGATTTACATTATACTGATACTTGCTTACTGTAAAAAATAATTGCTTAAGTATTGCTTGACTTACGTCCAGTGGCAACTATTTCAAGCATATTCAGTACTGTAAATCAAATCCGTCAAAATTCAGAAGTTGTATCTCACATGAAATATAATTTAACCCTTTCCAGTGCCATGAATTCCCTCTGACACTTAAGTATAGCAAAATAATAAACATGGTTTAATTTTTTTCTTTTTTTTTCACAGGAATATTTTGTTACATAGTAGTGCAGGAAACTTCATAACATGAAAAGGTTTATAAATGATTTCTGAGTTTGCTGTCATAAAAGATACCACAAATCCAACAATCAATCTGAGCTTTTTTTTTAAATCCTAAATGCCATTTAACTGTGGGTATCCATTAACCTTATAACTAACAGTTCCGATCTGTATAATTTGATGTTGTCTCTTAATGGATTTGTTCATTTACAATTCGATTTTGATGTCAAATCTTTAGTTGTCTCTATTGAAATCAATACTGTTTTTCCTATATCACTTTACACAGCTTGTTTTACAGGTTGGACTCTGTTTCTTTTATTTCTTATGATAAGTAATGTTGTGAAAGACATTTATAAATTCAACTAAGGTTAACATTATTTTCACATTTTAGATATATCTTTATTTCACTTAACTTTATTTGTTTTGTATATATTTTTCAAAGTACATTTTGTTGGTATTTTTTTTTACCCATAAAATCAATGAAAAATAGTATCCCATGATGCATCAATAATCTACTGTATGCTACTGTTTAAATACTATTGTTGTTCAGGCCTGGATTTTCTACTTGACAAAAATCACCAAATTTTTTTTTTTTTTAATTCCAAAGATTTGAACAGCCTATTTAATATCACATGAAACTATTTTCCCCCCACATAATACCCAGGTTGGCAAAAAAAAAGATCAATACTAGAATTGAACAGGCCTTATATAAAAAAAGAAAATGTGGTATGATTGCCTAATGATAAAGAAGTTAACTACTATAGGTCACCATACGGCCTTCAACAATGAGCAAAACCCATATGTAGTCAATTCTGGTATTTTTTTGTAAATATCAGCAAATACTGGTTAACTGAAAATTTGAGAGGGCATGAAAATGAGAAAGTGTTAAATTGAATATTAGTTATTTTAAATGTTATCTTTTCTGGTATTAATTGATATTATACATGGGCATTGATTTATAAGTGTTAAAAACAGTTTTAATCCATGAATACAATAACTTTAGCACATACAGGAAAATCATAGGTTTTATAACCATGACAACCTTACTGTTTTCAGTTTCAATGTTTCAATAACAATGCAATGGGTACTAGAAACATTATCATCTAAATTCTGTAACTTGAAACCCATCATAATTAAAAAAGATCTTAATTGTCCCTGCAGTGTTGGAAAAAATTTAAATTCTACTGTATATCATTTTATTTTTAAACTCTCAATTTTATTTATTCTTGTTATTGGTTGCTTAAGTCCATAGGCATAATGTTTATAATTTGGTATGGAGTTTAGAATCTTACTTTTAGTCCTGACATATGAATGAGATTTTATTTTACAAACCAAACAAAATTCAATGCATCATATATTAAATTATGAGATTACCATAAATGAAATGTTCAATTTAATTGATAATTATTTAAAACAAGATGTGAAATATCTCAAGAATGATATATTTGTTTTATTGTAAAAACAGAGGAGTAGTGCTCTTTGAATAGGTGCCCCGCCTACAAAATGTCAAATAATTTTATACAGTTTGGCACTGACGATTGATCTTAATTGTGAAAAACAAAAACAAACATTATAGGGATGATCATCCTTCAATTGATTCTGGAGGTGTAGAGAACAATAGCCTATCCTACTATGCAAAATCAATCAATGCTTACTATTTTAATTTCATCAACATTTTTTTATCTTAAACATGAAATATTATTTTCTGGATGACTGTTTATTTTCAAGGATGATTATTTTTTTTTTTCCAAATCTGATTGTTTTGACTGCCCAACCACTTGGTCATTTGACAAAATAACTGTTTAATTAATTACTTTAGTGACTGTTTAATTAGACTGTCTGTTCATAGACAGGCTATCTAACTGAAAATTGACCAATAGACTGGCTGTTGGAATGGTTGATTGACCATTTCATTGTCTAATTTAATATTTAAAAAAAAAATGACTGTTTGAATGATTGATTTACTAATGAACATGATGAATTCACTGCTATTTGGTGCTTTTCTGATTAAAAAAGATTTTCTATATACCAGAAAAATACCATGCACCTAACATTGTGTTAAAAGAAACCATTACTCAACTAGAATAATCTATCATATCCATGCAGGATCAGTAAGGTACTGAAAACCAACTAATTTTCCCCGAGCGATTTATTTTTTTTATACTTTTCTGAGTAGAGAATCATTGATAATATGTCAAATCTTGATCTTCAATTATATACCAAGAAAGGTAGAAAATAGCAAAACTAAATTGTCACAAAAATACCTAGAAAGGACTTGTATCTGCAAAAATGTTGGTTTACAGTATATCTTCTAAGAAAGTTCATATAGTGGCAAGCTTCATGCCAAATCACACTTGTACTTCAGCATAGATACATACTCCCATGCCTACTTTTATCCATATCATATAATTGGTCAAAGAAAGTTTGCTTAAAAGATTCTGAACAAAATGGTTTAAATGGTGTATTACCTTTGCCATTTGTAGTCCTCATGGTATTCTTTGCCACCATATCCCGCATGGCCAGCAATATATCGACCACCACGCCCACCTCTGACAAAGCCTCTTCCTCTTGGAAATGGAAATTTTCCTCTGCCCCTAAAACACAAAATCATATTTATTAAAAAAAATTCCACTTGTTCTGTTGAGGACAAATCATATCTGTTTCCTGTATCGAGTAGTAACAAAAACAAGTTATCATATTGTGGATTCATTTTCATTTGTGAAGTTCTTATGTATAAGAACAACTAAGTAATTATGTGTTCAACAATAAATTAATTTCCCACAAGGTTGAATGTAAAAAAATATGAAAACAGTGAAATCAAGTATCCATACAAATACAATTTTTCCTAAGAGCTATTCCAGGAAAAACAATATGTGGGGGTTGAAAGGCACTTTTAATTATTTTGGTTTGGGTGGGGCAGGCAACAAAGTTCACACTGTGTGGTTACATATGCAAAGCAAAATGCAATTGTATGGGTGATTGCCATTAAAAAGGTGCCTTCCAACCCCCCATATTGTTTTTTTCTTTCTGGAATACCCCTTAAATGTATTGCCAGTTTCTCACCACTACCAGTTTGTTTGTAATTTTTTTATTTTCTAGGAGCTTATCTGATATTTTGTGTTTTTAAGTGCAATGAAAAATAATCAAATATTTTCCACACATCATGGAAATTATTACATTAAGATTTAAAAGTAAATAAATGGGGAATGTGTCCATGGGACAAAGATGATGCCCCCACTTGCATATAACGTTATAAAGGGCCATAACTCAAGAACTGTAAAAGTGACACTACCCAATTTAGAACTTGATCTGTGTTTTGTGGTAATTAGCATTGTGCATAAGTTTCATAATATTTGGTTGAGGCAAACTAAAGTTAGAGAACAAAAACTAATATTTCAGCAATTTTTCCATTTGTAAAGGGGCATAACGGTGAAAGTGACACCACTAAAATTCAAACTTGATCTGTATTTTAAGATAATAAACATTGTGGCTGTGTTTCATAACATTTTGTTGAGGCAAACTCAAGTAAGAGAACGGAAACGAAAAATTCAGAAATTTTTCCATTTGTACAGGAGCATTACTCGCGTTAGGTATAAGTGATGCCACCAAAATTCAAACTCGATCTGTGTTTTGTGGTAATAAGCATTGTGGATAAGTTTCATAACATTTGGTTGAGGCAAACTAAAGTTAGAGAACGGAAAACAATGTTGGGACGTACGGACGTACAGATGGACAAGGGTTAAACTTAATGCCCCCTCCGTTATGGCGGGGGCATAAACACTCTTATTTTAATTAGTAAATAAACATCAGTAATGTCAAGGCTTTATGATGCCAATGTTATTTACCTGATAGGTGAGAAAACTTGAAAAACAATAACATTCTACTCAATCACAATTTCCTTTATAAAAACGTGAATATATTTTGAACCTGTATAAACACACAATTTTTCACACTGACTGGGCTTTTGACAGGTACAACTGTACATGATATAATAATAACTTATCTCTTTTCATAATAAAATAAATTATCTGTAATTTTGGGGTTTATGAATTTTTACAGCTGTTCTATTCATACATAAATCAATCTTGTAAAAGTTACTTAGAAAAATTCATTTGCAATTTTGACAATAAGAAATTTTACAGCTAATATATTCGAGTGGGTTCTTCATGCATAAAATTTAGGTTTGTCTGTTTGTTACATGAACCATGTATTTTTTTATTAGCAATTTTAAACATAAGATACAAAACTGGCCCAACAATAGAGTCGTCCATCCTATACCATGATATCATGGACTAATTATAACAATTGTTACTCTTTCAACAGGTACAAGAGTGACACTGATTTTATGAATACACTGTGTAATCATACAGCTGAAACATTGGAGTGTGTACTACATGCACAGGAGTTATGTTTGCTTGTTTATTAGATAAACCATGACTTCATCAGCTAATGTAAATTTATCGAAAAGGTCTTAGTCATGTTTACCCCTCCAATCATTTGATTGGCTGGTTATAACGCTTGCTGCTCTTTCAGGTAGAAAACAATGGTTGTAATGCTTTTATGGTCAACGGATCACACAAGAAAGCTAAATTTCATTGTACTTACACACTCAAGCATATAAACTGTTACTGTACACTTTTACTCAATGAATTTAAACATAAATCAAAAGATTTCAGAGGGCCCTCGGATTTCCTTTAACATTTAAATGATGCCCCTCTAACACAACTTCATTGCATTGTGTAGCAGATCACTTACCTCTCAGGCCGCTGGGTATCACTAGTTTGTCTCTGGTAAATCAAATTTGACCTTTGTCCAGGCTTCAACTGACCAGATTTTTCCATCTTGTCATAGAAATCTGTCTGGCAGTCTCTGCTGCCAAAATCAATCTGGAAAATAAGGAACAAATACTTTGATAATAAAATTCAGTATTTTAGACTGAGAGATTTTTCAGTCATTCATTACATTATTTCTACTCAGCAATCCTCAGTTCATGAAGATTTTTGTAATTTTTTAGAAACCTACATTCAATAGTATTCGTTATATGTGGTCTACGGAGTAAATATGTGCACTATCTTCACATTTGTGCTCTGACAGTTAATATATGTACAATTCATTTCTATAGATTTATCATTATTCCTTGTATACCAATTTTCATGGATTTCGTTAGTACAGGTGAAGCACAAATTCAAATGGTCAACAAATTAAAAATTTTCAATAATGTTCTATGAAGACTTTGGTAAAACCACAAAAACACAAGTTTTCCTCAATCCATGAAAATGAATGAATCCACAGTAATATACTAGCAAGTAAAGTAAATATGCTTATTAGCCTTGATCATGACATCACTAAATACTTTATTCAATACAAGTCATTAACATGAAAGTATACCTCTCAAACAAGGAAGATATTATCTTATTGTAATTAAAATTAGAGAAAAAAAAACATTTCCTTATTTTGCTCTACATTTTGTGCGATAAAATCCCTCAATTTTCTAACAAGCTCTAACGAAAACACAAAATCAATACATCTGTATATAATGCCATAAGTCATACCATTCCTAAAGAAAACTTACGTTACATACATTCATTAATCCTTTCTCCGCGAGAGATCGAAAAACACGACATAAAAATTGGAAAGCTTTGCAAGAAATAGTCGCTCTACTTATTGATAGAAAATTGACGTTCATCAATAATTTGATCTTTGATCAAATGTCAGAGTTATGACAGGTGTTTATTGCAGATACAATTATCAAGTTACTTGGTAACCATGGCAATCTAAAAGACTTTTTTCATTACCACTATTCAAATTTAAGATTCTAAGAAAATGTCATAACTGACGAGACCCAAAGGACCAGGAAAAAAGATGAGGTTATCAAAGATCAAAGTTATGCTTGAGGACTAAAATGATTTCCAATAAAACTTGTATTCTCTTGAGCATTAAAATGATTTCCAATAAAAGTTGTATTTCTAAAATAACAAGGCATAGTACTTTAAATTTTTTAGTTAGGTATATCATTGCATGTTTTTCACCCTGAAGACCTGATATAAGAAAATGTTCATTTTGTTATGTTATCAATATCATTTGCATTTAGAATATTTTTTTTATAGAACGGTATTACTAAAATGACTGCTAAATCAAATTATTTGTTAAAAAAAAATATCTAAATATTTCTACTATACATTAAAATTGGGGTGGTGCCATTTTCCCCTCAAAGAAAGCCCACTTGCCAATAGATACACTGACTGGAAAAAAACATTCTCCACAACAAAAGTCATTGTAACAAAACTTACTGACTCAGAATCAGACATGGGGCAAAAAATTCTGCATTTTTTTTAAGAGCGGAAAACACTGGGGTTGATATGTTGTAAGGTTGCTGTCTCATAGACACTTACTTCCTATTTTGAACTCGTAAACAGTACTGAGATAATTCAATAGGCTATAGTTTTCATTTTCCAATTCAACGATGTGTTCCACAATGTACTACATCCACTTCAACTTAAGAAATGTGAACAGTTGCTAACATCTACTTCATTATTGGCAATCATACCACATCTGCTTTTTTTATATAAAAACAAATTTTACAAATTACCTGAATTTTCTGGCCGTTTAAGATTCTATTCCTCATTTCACTTAGTGCAAACTGTGCGCTTTCTAGACTGCTGAAGAAAATAAGAGCTTTGCCTCGTTCTCTGTCGATGACCATATTGGAAACTGGGCCATAGCGATTGAACTGTCTAAAAAGAAACTTCTCCTGAACAGTGTCTGCTAAGTTGTCCACCCAGACACAGTTTGTTGGCATGCTCTTTCCAAAACCAAGCTGAAAAATACAAAATTTAAACTTTTAAATTTCATTTCAGTCAATCAAAATCTTGTCTGATGTCAAAAAGGAGAAAATTGTGTAACAGTATGATTTTCTTTAAAACTACACAAAAATGTAAAAAAAATAATCAAATGTAATAAAATGTCCATAAAATCAATGCCATAAATCAAAGCATACGAGATAATCAATATCTTCTGATCAAACATTAAATAACAAAAACCAACTTCATGTACATCAATAACCAAGAACCTGACCTAGTCAGAACAGATTATTTTCAACATTTCAGTAACGAAATGTAACACAAGATGGACATATGAATGCCCATTTTTTATTTACAAGTATTAGATGTCTAGCAGGTGTAATCATAGAACTAATAAATATGTCAGAAAATCATGAATAATTAGCCAGAACAGAATATGAGACTGTGGTATAGATTTCCATCCAGCAGAGACAAACTTCGTTAAAAAATATCAATAATCCACAATAATACTTATACGGATGTACCATCTCCAAAGAAGGACAATTACATGGTCTTCAATCCATAAGAGTTATTTTTCAATAATCAGATAAACCTCAGAACAGTTTTCAGCGAGTGAAAAAAAAATCGTTAATCTTCTGCACTAATTACCTCTTTATTACACAAAATAACTTTAATTTCATCAAAATTATCATCACTTAAATTCCCAAATGTCAAACATAATGTAAATAATAATTTTAATCATTGTAAAATGTAACACTGTTTTAAAACCTCCATTTTCATAAAACATCTTTGAAAAAAATAACATTGTTAAATTACTTTAGAATGCGAATGTTTTATTAACAAAGCTATCTTTTGCTTTATTGTTGTTAGGAAGGGAAATCTTCCTCGTTTTATCAACACAAATAACTATGCAGAATTACTTTTCAATAATGCATCGTCCAAATGCAGCATTTGTAAAACTCATTTAAAAATAAACCATCAATATTTTCAAATTGCTAAAACCTAGCATTAATATCTAAATCCTGCATCCTGCTTTAAGTTTTTGGTTACACAAAATAACAACCCAACAAATTACTTTCCCATGTGGTTTTTCTAACGATCGACAACTCCAAATTCTCTTAATCATTGATTATTAAATGGAATAAATGTTGAATCGTTTCCAAACCACTTGTTTACAGGAAGTACTTTCTCTGTGACCTAAGGGGCCAACATAATAGTGGATACACATATAACTCGAGACTTCCTGACAAAATTAATTTTTCGTTCAACATACAAGGACACATTTAAATATGATTGCAATAAGCTTTCCTGATTAAGCCAATAAATTAATGTTAGCTCAGGAAATACACTGCACTAATCTTACAAGTTAGTCAGTGTATATAGAATTCTTGTATAGATTTTTCTCTATAGGCATTATTGAAAACTCTTGTCAGACAGGCAAAAATTCATGTAATATTCATATTATGCATTAAAGACAGGATTTTTATAACACTTGCAAATCCATGGGTTTATCTATATCTTTCCAAGTGTATAGAATATATGTAAATAAATCAATTTTATTACATCTACCCAATATATCTTATAGAGATTAGAACATAGCAATTTTTTTCTGAATTACCAATAGATCCTTAAAAGTTTTCAGTGAAATTCAGTCAACCCTTTTCCCTCAAATGTTTAAAATTTATTTCAGAAGTGAAGGGTCCCAAGCCTTTAAGGCTTTACCAATCAAAAAAGAAAACCTGTAGAAAATGAAAGCCAAAGGTCAGGTGCTTAATATTTCTCGCAGGAATGGAAGGTTTAGGACATTTGCATTTTACAAATTAAAGGTCCACCTTTGTCGTTTGAAGGTAATGGACCTTGGACCTCCTTTAATTTGTACCTACCTTTAACTTCATTCCTCCCATGGTTTCACCATCTAGAGCCCGGAGAGCTTTCACAACACTCCGTATATCTGTAAACTGGATAAACGAGTAGGCCGATATTGCACCTTGCCTTTTTACATCGATGTCCTACAAAAATACAACCAAAACTTTATCAAGGTGTCCAAAAACAAGTGATAATAAAATCTGCAGGAGGAGGGTCCATATTTTAAAAAATCCTGCATGGTTCATGTCACTTGGGTAGTTCAAAGTTTGTGGACAGATTATAAAGAGAAAATATGTATACATTTTTACCATCCTCTAAAGGTTTTCCTCAAATCTTCAAATGATAGTTTTAATAGCATAAAAAAATATTTATCTGATCTAGTTATTTTCATGGTATCAAAATTTTTTTATAATCATGTCCATTAAAACATTTCAATAATAAATGGGGAATGTGTCCATGGGACACAGATGATGCCCCCGCTTGCATACAACTTTATAAAGGGACATAACTCAAAAACTGTAAAAGTGATGCTACCCAAATTTGTACTTAATCTGAGTTTTGTGGTAATAAGCATTGTTTATAAGTTTCATAACATTTGGTAGAGGCAAACTAAAGTTAGAGAACAGAAACGAATATTTCAGCAATTTTTCCATTTTGTAAAGGGGCATGACTCTAGAACGGTAAAAGTGACGCCACCAAAATTCCAACTTGATCTGTGTTTTGTGGTAATAAGCATTGTGTATAAGTTTCATAACATTTGGTTGAGGCAAACTAAAGTTAGAGAACGGAAATGAAAATTACAGCAATTTTTCCATTTGTAAAGGGGCATAACTCTAGAGCTGCAAAAGTGACAACACCAAAATTCATACATGATCTGTGTTTTGTGGTAATAAGCATTGTGTATAAGGTTCATAACATTTGGTTGAGGCAAACTAAAGTTAGAGATTGGAAACCAATTTTGGGACGTACATACAGACGGACAAGGGTAAAACTTAATGCCCCCTTCGCTACGGCGGGGGCATAAAAAAAGTATTTGTTATGACTTTTTCTACTAGGCATAATTATTTAAAACATTCTCATAGTTTATGAATTTGTATTTCTTTCATTCTAATCCTTTCTGACCATTTTTCATATTTTTAATGTTTATCTTATATCCTGCATTTAATGAAAGTTCTGTTACCTGGTCATAACTTTGTTTCTAATTTATCACTGTTACAATTACTCATGGCTACTTTATTTTACTTAGAAGGCCCATTAATTTGAAATAACATCCTGTACTATTTTTAGTCTTTATTTCAAGCTTAAAAGCCAGCAAATAGATCCTATTAGCATGATTAGAAGTATAATAAAACATCAACTAATAAGAAATTTATGAAAATATCACAACTTTATTTCATTTCGTCCCACAGCATATGGAGAAATGTCAATTCAGTCATTCCAATATCATTTAAATTCATATTAAACTCATAATTTATATTTTATGAACCATACATATATATATATATATATATACAGAAAATTCATAAACCATGAAAATCTTCTTTAAATATTAAAATTTTATGCGTTCGTCTATCTGTACCTAAGCTAAGTGATAACAACAACAAAAATTGAATTCAAGGTCTTTTTAAGTTTATAGAAATGTTCCTTAGTAAATTTTTGTAAATCTTCTTTTCATGGTGGTTTTGACTTATTCATTTCATTTTTGACATGTAATGAGAAACTTTTAATTTTATTTCAAAACAATGAACAAATTAGCACTGAACTGGAAACCAATGTTCATCCAGTCAAAACTGTGTTTTTAGGTCTGCCTTAACATATTTTAATACAAAAGAACAACTTTTTTGACTGACTTCATTTTTCATGCTTAGCAAGAATTCGTTTAATATGTTTTGTTTTGGCTACGTTTTCAAATTTTTGGCGGTCATCAAATCTCATCCCTTTTAGCTACCAGCACGTAATCAAATTCCCCAAACAATATTTTATTAATGCATTAATTTAAAATTCATAATATCAAAACATGTTGATTTATAATCAAATCAAAATTCTAATCCAATACAACAATAAATCTTTATAAAGTCAATGTAAGATCCATCAAAACATCCCATTCTTTAGTCCAATTCTTAGTCTTAATATTCAATGTTGCCTTTATTCAGGCAATATACACTTAACGTTTAACAATTTAAAATGAAAATCTAACATACTTTAGAATTACATTAGAAGACGATACTTTCATCATTACAAAAACAAATTGTGAAAAATACAAAGGCATTAAAAAATCAACTCAAGCCCAGACACCACATGATTCAGCAGGCCTTTAGAATATTTATATACTTTGGTCCAGTAATGAAATAACTGTACTGGATTAAACTGCATTAACAAGTTTCCAAATGTTTTTTTGTCTGTATTTGTGTCTTTGGTCCAACAAAAAACCTGGATATCCATAAATATAATAATAAGTAACAATGTTACTGTAAACAAACTCATTTTCCCCGGACACTTTAGTTTAGTCACTTCTTGATTTCATGGCAATTTATTTTCTTGATTTTATAACTTGGTTGATGTTTTCATAAAAGAGAAGATCCAAGTTTGCCATATTCACAACAATTTATATTTTCAATATATTTTCTAACAGCAAAAGTTACAATAATTTTCCTCAATAAAATTAGTTGTACAGTATTGGATGCTAAAAAATTCAACCTACCAAAATGTCTCCATATTTAGAAAACATATCCTTCAGTTCTTCCATGGTGATTTCCTTCTCTAGGTTACCAACAAACAATGTCCTAGTGGCTTTAGGGTGGTGCTCATCTAGTTCAGCTTCTGGTGGACGGAATTCTGCGTCATCAACATCTAAAATTATATCAATATACAAATAAGGAGATGTGGTATGATTGCCAATGAGACAACTATCCAATTGAGTCCAAATGACGTAGATATAAACAACTGTAGGTCACTGTACTTTACAGTCTTCAATAATGAGCAAAACCAATACTGTATGGTCAGCTATTAAAGACCCCATACTAGTTTTCCTCGTCTGGATTCATTATTATTGGAAGGGTACACATTTTTATGGGTAAAGAATCACCACAAGTTTAAGTGTTCCATGAAATACAAATTTTTCATAAGATTGTATGCAAAGGTTGGCAAAAACAACCAAATCCAAATATCCACCATAATACAATCTTTCCTCAATCCATGAAAATTAGAACCCACAAAAAATAAATGAATCTACAGTAATTCCAAATTAAAGAGATCTCCTTATTAATGCTTTTTTTTTAAAAGGAATTTTCTAGTCAAAGTGAAGTTTCAAAATTTTATCAAGCAATTTTCTCTATCTTTAAAGGAAAATAGCAATTTCTACATCAGGATAATATGATCTATTGAAAACATACCTATGCCCTCATGCTCCGATACTCTGATATTTGCACCAAAGAATCTTTTGTCCTGAGAGGCAACATTTGCTTTACGAGCATCTTCCGACTTTTTGAAACTGACGATAGCATATCGCCCATCCCCATTTCCTGAGATCTGCACAGCATTCACTTTGCCATACTTTTTATACTCATGGAAAAGTCCATCTCGTAAGCTTGTGTCTGTAAAATGATTTGAAATCATAAAAAATAGAATACAAGACATGAATTTAATATGACTTAAAATAGAATGGCTTAGGACCATTTGAATTGTCAAGTTAAAGTTTCTATTTAAGAAAGTCGAAGGTGAAACAGCATCAGTTTAGCAAATGGGAATCTGCCTTTTGAAATTTTAAAAAAGTCTCCTCCCAGAAACAAAAGGTCTGGACCTTAGGCCCACACTAAATTGAACCCCTGCAGTTTTAATTAAAAATATCTGAAGACAGTAACTGAAGGAAGAACTGAACAGAAGGGTTGAAAACAATTTCTTGAAAAAACACTATCCCATTTCAACTTCAATATGAACTAAAATCAGAACAGAAGTATTTTCCTGAGTCTCATCTACAGAATTATGAAACTGTGTTGACACATTTATATAAAGGAATATCTAAGTTCGGCATGTAGGCAGCTTTTCATATTAATTTTTTTCCCTTCTTAACATTTATCTATTTTATCCATGTGAATTGTCAAAATTTGATTGAAATTCAAAAATAAATTAGAATACATCAATATAGAACTTTTTAAAAGGATAGGAATGATTAGAATAGAAAAGCAAGTTTTAATTAAATCATGTGAACTTTACACAATAGCATTGTTAGCATCAATAAAATATTGTATCAATTTTCTGAGTTTAGAGTATTCTCTTATAACATTTAATAGTTTCTGAAATCAACATGTGAAATATAACCTATGGAAATGACACACGTCCTTCTTAACAAATAAGTAGCTTATGTACATTAACTCCCTTCCAATTTTATACATACATAATCTGAATAATCCCTAAAAAAAATTTCCTGTAGTGAACCTCAATAATTAATATTCTTACTACATGCCAATTTCCTTGCCAAAAAAAAAAAGAAAAGAAAGATCTCCCACTAGAACCTTAACATTCTGTGCCAATTATTTCCCTGTTGAACAAAAAACACTTCTAGCCCTGAGCTTGTCTCTGTGTTTAACAGATGTACTAGGTTTTGGCAAACATTCAGGTTTTTAAATATTTCTCTAATGAAGGAAAAATGTATCTTATTTTAAGTGTCTGTACAAGAAACTTGTGACAACAAACAAGGGTTTAATATAAGAGGATTTGTATTTCTTCGTACAACAATAAACAACATTGAAAAGCAAAATTACAAAAAGGAAATCTAATTTTAGAACTGGAATTTGTAAAGATCAGATATATATATGCTTCATAAAATCCATCAAAGAATTAAACTTCTAACTCAGCAACACCTAATACTCAATTTTTCTAATTTCGCATAAATCTATTGAATCCCCCAATAAAACTGTAATTTCATACCAGAGTATTATGTGATGTTTGTATTTATGCAGGGAAAAAGTCACTTAATTCTTGCTGGTAATATAATGCACTTTATCATGTATAGAAACCTGGTGAATCACCTCATTAATCTTACATTACACCAACTATATTGCATATTTGCATTTTAATTCCTGAATTGACAGTAAGTTTACTGTGCCATAAAGGTCATACATTTATTGGTAAAATGTGTTGCCTTTGAAAAAAAATAGTAGGTCAGCAGAAACCAGGAATGACAAAATATCCCACCCAACTTGTCCAAAAATCTACGGGACTAGGAAATATGTTCGAACTTCTTGTCCAGGAAAAGTAATTTCTGTAAAACTTAAAACAGCTTCTCTAAATATAAGACCACAACAGTACGAGACAACAAACTACAATTGAATACACAAACCAGGGGTTAAAATTTGCTTTTAATAATAAAATAAACTCATCATAGATATCAGGATTGAAACTCTGTATTTGAAAGGTGGAGTACCATTTGAATTTACACATGAAAAGCCCTCCTTATGAAACTCAACAGTCCTGTATAAAGAATCAGTGTATAGAATGGGAGCTTTCAGACTTTTGAAATTCAAAAATGAAAACACTCCTCCTCGAAAAGACAGGTCTCTGACCCCTGACCCACACAAATTTGAACCCCTGCAAACAAATGCATAGGTCCTTTCCAAGATTTGTTACTGCAGTATAAATAGGGAGTAACTGTAGTATGAATAGGGATTAACTACTTACCACTAGATCTGCCAGGAAGGTTGGTGATTCTGATACCATGTGGGCGTCCTCCTCCCTCTGTAGTTTCTGTGTTGTCACTGCCTATCGATTCTTGTGACCTTGACCTCCCTGACTTGACCTGTGACCCTGTGGACGGTAATTTGGATCTGCCTGCACGAGTACTACTCCTGCTACAAAACAGACTGAATTGTGACACAATATTCACCTTTTTACACAAATTTGTCTGCAGTAAGTTATTTGTACAATATTATTTAATAATCAAAGAAAATTTCTAAAGAATGTAAATCCCTTTCCAGAATCAAAAGATCTTTCCAAATATTCAAGGACAATAATACCAAACTACACATTCTTGACTTTTCTGTTGGTGTCTTCCTTCTTATTAACCTTTCTATTCTATTACAAAACCACTAAAGCTCTGTGTATAACCTATGATTAAAATTTCGTTGCATTGTTCACAATTAACAGGGAAAAAGTGAAGTTTTCATGATCCTGAAGTCATTGAAAGATGAATTATAGGTCACATTTACTCTTTTTTTGATGCACAAGACTACATTTAATTAAGCGACAAATAGAGGCATTTGCTTTACGTACCTTCCAGATTTTGACCTTGACCTGCTGCTGTCAGAAGACGAGTCGCTATAGCTACTACTTGAACTTGAATCTGAAGACCCCGACCTTGAACGACTAGTAGAATTTGATTGCTTTCGCTTCATTTTTGGACTTTTTCTGCTTGTCTGTGATGTTGATCTAGCAGGTGACTGTGGAGGTCTTGGTTTTTCAAATGCATCTCGATCACTCGATGAATTTGACCTGTGACCTTCTCCAAAACGTCTACCAGCTGTCCATTGGTGATGTCCTCCCCTAAAGACAAAACACAATTTTCATAGTAATTTATTTCCTTTCAACAACATACTAAACATTTGACTCAGAAATTTAAAGTATGAACACTACATCTAGACTACACTACAGGGATTGAAGTTAAAATTTTGGCATGGTAGCCCACAGCTTAAATTTAGTTAGCCAATATATATAGTTCTATACAAGAAAAGCAGAAATTTCATTAGCCCACCCCAAATTTTAGGGGCCATTTGCGAGTGGGCCCCTGCTAATTTCAAACCCTAGTTACAATAATCAAATATTGTAAATACAAAATTGAAATGTTTTTGTAAATGCAAAAAATGCAACGTGGCATATAATCCTTTAAAGTTTTCTGGTTTTATTCTTCTTCAGCAGGTGATTTTTTTGCTAAATCATGATTGAACTTCTGAGTATAGTGTTTCCCAATTTTGGTAAATTATGAATACATCTTTCTTTGTATATTATAACCAATTCTGCCTTACATTGCTTCATGCATATTTCACATATATCTATTATTTCCATTGTAAATTCCGTGAATTCTTTCATTCCCATTTTACCACAAGGGTATTTTGAATAACAGATCATAAATTATTTCCAACAGCATTTAAATTTCTTTTACTGGAACTGAAAATACTGCAGTAAATGGATACCTACTCGAGGATTGTTACGGCCACTGACATGTCACATTACTTTCCTATGTATGCAAATTACTCCAAAATATAGGTTGCAAGTTCACATAAAGTTAAACAGCTTCACATATTTGACCATATATTTATGCATGAAATATTCTTCAATTTTTTTATAATCCTTGAAACCATGATATATAACCACATTTTAATGAGAAAATCCCACTTATTAGGAATAAAAAATACCTTGTGAAAGAACTTTAAAAGTTCACGGTCCAACAGTTTCTAACGCCTGATTTAAGCCTATCTCTGAATTAATTTTACCAAGTGTGAAAGCAAAAACCTGTTTACTCAAATTCTGTATTGACAGTTAGAATTTAAATTAGCTTAAATTCAATGCATCTATTTTAATTCAATCATTCGACACAATTCTAACAAAAGCTGGCCTGGCACATACATAAAACCTTATACAAACGAAATAAATTGTTAAAAGGCTGTGAAGGATTGAAGAGAAAAACGCCAATGTTAGATTTCCAAGCTCATTGAAAGCATGATCTGAAAGAATCCTGCTAAAAATATCTATTCCCACAAAAGATATGTTTGTTCACAGAGTAAATGCAAATAATTCTCAGACGTTGAATAAAAATGATAACACACTTATTTGAATGCAATTAAATCAATGGTACTCCTCACTATAGCAATAAGTTGAAATAGAAGGTGATATGAATTGTTTGGAGAATACAAAAAAAAATATGCATGAGAAAAAGTTTGTGGAAATGTAGATTTCAGCTTCAAGCAAGCATTTAATTTATATAACAGAATTATAATATGATATCCACCGTCAGTGATTCTGCAAGCAAAGATCTATACAATCCTTGAAAATAATTAGGAAGAAATTCCCCTCATCAAGTTGGCTTTCCTCACAACGTTAGTGATTTGGCAAATTTCCTTCTTAGAACTTGGCTTCCTATCCTCCGACACAGAAGGTTATCAAATGCTATTGAAGCCTAATTACACACTGTAAGTGTCAGAAAAACCAGAAATATTACAATTTTTTTCCACATGTCAGATTATATTTTTGAGTCAGCATTCCGTAATCTTCAACATACCACCTCGGTGTCACAAATTATTGGAAATCCATACCAAATGCAGCGTATTCTGTCGCTTCCATTATAACTTCACTGATTAAGTTGCTGATGACTTGTCATTTCGGAAGGATTGGAATAATCTCCTTCTTCCATAGACCGGTCTTCAATATTGTATAATTCATCAAACCAAACCATATATACCTTTAATAGGACGAATTTAATGTTTCTCTCCGACAGAACATTTGGCATTTGTCGATCATCTTAGACAAGTGGGTTGGAATTCTGCAGAATTTATTTCTTTATTGTCAAAAGAATTATATTTCACTGTGGAAATTAATCTTTCCGTTGTTATGACAATGAGTATCTTTTTACAACAGATAACTTCTCATTTCAGAAAGCCTTTAAATGGTTATTTTATTGAATAAATTTCCATGCATTTTTTTTTTACATCAAACACCCTATTAATCTAAGGCACTTCAGTATGAATTCAAAATATTTCAATTTTCATACAGCATTATAAAATTTATTGTTATCTGTCCAACCTTTCAGTCTTAATGTGCCTTAAGGGGGAAGTTTGGCTTAAGAAAGCAAAATTTTTATATGTGAAACATTAATCTGGTAGTAAATCAGAGATCATAGAACACAAAGGTAGAAATAAGTTTATGCCAATATGGGCAAGTTCCTTTTGAAAGTAATTTGCCTAAAAGTGCAGGTGACAAGTAAAATTTAGTTTTGCTAGCAATGGGTAAAACTTATTTGACATGTCATGTACATTTTGTACATTGTCCATTACAATAGGGATGAGATTTTGTAAATTTCTGACTGATGATATTCAAAGATTCATTTCATTTTCAATCAATTTCTTTTTTTTTATCATTTGTAAGTCATACATATATATAGGTTTACATATTAAACAGCAGTAACCAGTGAAAACTTGTTTCATCTAATTTTATTTTGTAAAAAATTAGTTTGAAGAAAAATTAGCACTATTTAGACTTTTTCTGGTAAACTGTTTGTTTCATTTTTAGTGTAAAGCTGGACAGATCTTTTTTTATTTGAACTTTGAATTGTATATAAGACATAGCTCTGTACAAAGCTGCATATAGTTTATATATCTACATAGCTCAGCCAGAGGCATGATTTTATCATATATTTTCATGAATTGCAAATTTATGTCTACTCATCATTTTGTCATAAAATTTATGTCTTAAAGCCTTTAGTAAATCATAAGGATTTAATCTTGTCACACTTAAATACAAAATAATAAAACACCATATCTAATGATTCTTCAAAACGATGACCTTTTACTGTAAGTCTCAGTCAAAAATATCTAAAACTGAGCATACTGATTTAAGCAAACAGGAAATCAATGGACATGTCAATCTAGAGAACCGCGAATGCTTGTCAAATTTGTAGGAAAATTCTTATTTCACCATCTAATATATCTATTGACCGAGAATGCTTGTCAAATTTGTAGGAAAATTCTTATTTCACCATCTAATATATCTATTGACCGAGAACGCTTGTCAAATTTGTAGGAAAATTCTTATTTCACCATCTAATCTATCTATTGACCAAGAACGCTTGTCAAATTTGTAGGAAAATTCTTATTTCACCATCTAATCTATCTATTGACCGAGAACGCTTGTCAAATTCTTAGGAAAATTCTTATTTCACCATCTTATCTATCTATTGAAAGGCGGCCATTCTTGCAACTGGCTTAGTAATGAGGCCTTTTCTGATCAATGTCATGTACCACTTTGCAATAATTTGGATGCAAACGGAAAGTGCCGCAAGCAATTCAACATCCTTCCAATACTGCTTTTTGGTACATTTATTCCTAACAAAAACTAAACAAAACACATAAGAAAGCGATTTCACCCAAAAATCAATTATTATGGGTTTAACCATTTGTAAAAGATGCTACAAATTGTATAATCGAATGTTTTTAATGAAAATCAATTCAAAGTTACTACCTACCTGTCAAATTGTTTAAATCCTCCACGTGGTGGGAATCGATCACGAGGCCTGCCCCGTTGGTATTCCTCTGTGTACCCTGTATTATACTGTCCCAACTGGCTGGAATAATAGTCCCTCCCTTCATACACCTCACCATCCTCAGGCCTACAATATAAATACAACATTGTTATTCATGGTTCTTAACTCATATTTATTATAAAGTCCTGAAAATAAGCAAAGACAGTTACATTACCAAAATATGATTTTTTTCAAACAGGTTATGACTTGGATGGAGAGTTGTCTCATTGGCACTCATACCACATCTTCTTATATCTATCAATGATTTTTTGGGTTAATTGCTAATGTAAGTCTTGATCTTTTTATTAATTAAAATACTGTTAATTCAAAGTTTCATCCATACTGTAGTTTCATTATTATTGGTTGGGCACAATTTTTGTGGATTTCATAGTCTCAAACTCTCAATAAGTGGACCACAAATTTAAGTGTATAACAAAATGAAAATGTCATAAGGGATTGTATTCAGAATTTGTTTCAACCATTTTTTCCAACCACTGATATACTAAGGCCGGGTTTTACAAACACATATACAGTATATATGACACTGATTTAAAATTTAAGAATTTACACATGAGAAACTGCAGCATTAACAAAACTGGGAATTTCTATCTAGAAAAAGTAGATGTACCTATGATATATCTATATTTAATCGTCTCTATATGGAGACAAAAAACATGGCTAAATTTTGAACATATTGTCAGCAAATGTCATCACAATTCGAATACAGCCAGGGGACAAAAGGTCATGAATTTATAGATTGCTTGTAATTTCTATCATAAAAGAACAGTTATTTCTGAAGGTCAAAATTAACTATGGGAAAATACAGCCAGTAAAAGGGCCACATAATGCATGTTTAAGAAATTTTTTTATACATAAAAATAATTTAAATAAATGAATAAACTCATACTGAACTCTTGGCATTATCATGATACTAAAAATAAAATTTTCTGACTCTTAAGTGATCTCTTTGAGGACTCATTGTGGAAAAGGTAGTTTTATAAACTTTTTCTGCATTTTAAAGTATTCATGATAAAACAAATAATGAAATCTAATACATACATGTATGAACATTTGATATAACAGGGGACTCCTAAAATATTTCTTAAAAAAGTGTACTTTAATGATATTGTTTTTTATTATTTTTTTTTGTATTCTATCTAGATTTATTACATAATATATTCTATATAGATTTATTATATAATATATTCTATATAGATTTACTATCTAATGGCATTAAAGATTGGAATTGAATGTAACCATTATAAAACAAATTGAAGAGCCAAGATCCTCTCCACAAAAAAAAAACAAACTGGTTATAGGCCACAAGGAGATCCTGGTCAGACAAAAAAGATATATAGTAGATAACGGCTTTTCCAATTTTGAATTCCTTTGTTTTCAATGCAGACACTAAGGGCTGAATTCATTATACGCTTGATACAAAAAAACTTTATACATAAATTCATTTTATTTTCTTGAAGGAAATCTGTTCTAGTTATTTGCTTGACTCAATCTTATATATTGAAATCTTCGTCTTTTTTTCTTTAAAGAAAAACTCTTTTCAAAAATTTTTTAGAATTTACATAAAATGTATTTCTATTATACAGGACAGGAAATGTTGTCTTACAAGTCATTACTCTAGTGTGCAATCTTCCAGATGAATAAATAACTCATTAATAATATTTTATTATATTATCTGACAAGAATTTTATTATTAACATAATTACATATTCACACAAGTGAAGTTTCCAAATACACAGGTCCAAAGTCTAAACTTGTCCTAAATCTAATTGTGTTGACAAAACTTCCTTGTCTAATATCAAACAGTATTTTGAGATGGCCCCCAGATCTTCATGATCACCTATCTCAAATTTGTCAAGGTAAAAAGTCCAAACCATCCCACCTTCATTTAACTGAACAATATCTATGCTGTCTGAACATTGATAATGACTGAGTGTTTTTATCTGAAAATCTCCATGGTAACTATTTGTATGTGTGGCCTCAAGGGTTTTGTACTCAAACACAAAAGTAGTCTACCAAACAAAAGCTAGTATTTAAAATGAAATGTGAATAATTTTACAAACGTATTATAGGTATTTTGTTGGAGAAAAACATTGTATTTGTGATAATTCTTTTTGTGAAAATATTGATTATCTAAATATAGGAAAGCTAAACAGTAAACAACAATGCCTTACAAGGATCTGCACAAAGCATGGGAGATCAAAACCAGAATCAAAATTGACAGATGGTTTTAAAATCCCAACACAAAGAGCATGAGACATGTTTCCAAGACAAAGCAAATTTATTTTGGATGAACTCACTTAAAAAACAAAACCTTTTGTTACATTGTTCAAAACGTCTTCAATCCTTGACAAATAAATTCCATCCTGAATTAGACAATAGAATTGAAATATACACACAATACAGGAAATGAGCATTCGATCAAGGAAGTTATGTTTTTTTACTATTTCTCATAAATAATTGGGGATTTTACATTGCTACTTCCTTCATTGTATTAATGGATATAAAAAGAATCCATTTCATCACTTTTCTTCGTTTGCATACATTAGAATGGGACAAACCTGAATTTGATTATTGAAAATTGCAATCTACAAGTTAAGGCAATTAAATCTTTAAGGGGTGCAGCCAAATAACTTTTTAACACTAAATGGTTTCTTGTGTAAAATGTAATTTCAGTCGACCTGGTTTGGAAAACTTGTCAAGAAAATTCAATCAGATTGACTATCTATAGCAATATTCATTCTGTAATTTTACTAATAATTATTAAAATCATTAAAAAAAATTATTATTAGTTCAATTACTTGGATCACAAGAATACAATTTAATTTTTGAAGGCTGTATTGTTTCATCTTTAGGGATTTTTTTTAGTTTTTTGTGTCATTGGGTTTTCCTCTCTTTGAAAACCGGTTTACAAAACATCTACTTTAACTCGGTCATACTTCGAATGTTTAGCTATTACCTTTTTTAAACTATCAAATAAACTATTTTTTCTAATATACATGTATCTGCTTACACAAATGTCAAAAATTTAGAACTGTGACCAACAATTTACAAAATTCACTGTATCTGAGTATGAATATATTCTATTATTTTCATTGGTCACTGGTCAGTCTGTCAAATACATGTATTTTGGTGTTTTTTTTTTACTAGAACACAATAGTGAAAAATTTGCATCATATTATTAAAGTATGAAGTATAATCTAACTAAATAATAGTATATATAATGTAATTTACTGTTTTTCTTAATTTTATTGTCCACAACTGATGATTAACTGCTATTATTTAATCACTATCGTTAACAACTGATGTCAAATACTATGATCTTTAGAAAAGCAGCTTATTTTAATATACATGTATTCACACTCATGCAAACATCTGCCAATGTGTGAATATTGTAAATTGTTTGTCACAATTCTGGACATACAATAGTTAGTATATAGAATTTGACATATTGGTTTTACAAACTGAGAAAGATTTCATTAATTGTCTGGCACTCAAACGTTTGATCTTCATGACAAGATTGGATGATCTCCACACAATGAGAGATTTATACAAACACTGAACTATTAATCTAAATGTGCGCTTTTCAATATGTTATGCCTGAATTTTAATTGTCTCTCTATATACTAATAAATATCTTTTATATCTTAAGACTTGTATCAATAACCTTTAAATTTTCTCTGTACTTTTCAGTTGAGTCAAAAGCATACATACACATTTTTATTTCCAAGTAATAAAATTCTATTACCATAAAACAAATCAAAATTTTGAAATGTCCCCTCATCAAATTTTTATGGCAAGACCCTACATGAAGAAAGGAGATAATACTACATTTGAAAAGCTTCTATTAATATTTTTCAATACTTGTCAAACCTGTTTTCACAAAGCATTTAATTAAACTAATATTTAATCTGTTAAAAGTACAGATTATATTAAATGAATATGTCCAATTAAACCCAGGTAAATGTTTAATGGTTTGAAATTTTAAGATTTTTTAAATTTCCCTTTTAGTACCTCTTTATTATGTATATTGATTTTGGAAGCCTTCCAAGAACTGACTAATGTGAGATGAAATTTAACATGTCTGGGTCACCTGTTTATTTCTGACAAGAAGAAATTTACAGTTTTATCAAACCAGAAGGTTTTTTTGCAATGAAATAAGAATATCTTATCTCTAATGAACTGATATCTCCCCCAAATACAGTTCATTGCATGGATATGAATGATGTAACGTGTGGGGAAAAAATCTGAAGAATGTTACTTTTCATTAAACAATTCTGTCTAATACACTAAAATTAAAAAGTTAAAACTACTGGCAGGATTGATTTATACTGTTCTTCACAGATTTGAACAAGCTAAAAGGTAGCCAAATTCTTATGAAATTGCTATGCGTCTTAAATATTTATAAATATTTATAAATTTGCTTAAAAAGAAATATCAGACACATTTGCAACAATTAAGAGGGATTACTGTAATTTTTGGTTAAAGAGGGATTTGTGCAAGTTTTATTCTACACCTGAAGAATACATCACGACTGAAAATTAATTGATAAGGCCAATTCATTGATCATAATTCAAGTTTGAAACTAAACTTTCAAATGTTCCAACTGAGTTAAACATACATACTACATGGCGAGTATTGTAATTTTTTAAACAGCCATTTACAAATGTTGCCTGATCTTTGGGTTTCTGTGTTGCCTTGTGGAATTTCCTTTGCCATTTTTCTTATGGCCATTTTAGAATCATGATAAATGATTGTCCCCTTTTTTGTTTTCTTTTTTCTAAATTACCATTAACTTTAATTCGAATACCATTGAAAATGTTCAACAACTACAATTTAATGAACAAAACATACTTTTAATGATTATTATAACAATCTGCACAACCCATCTTTTTGTGATATCAAAAGAATATTTTGAGAGGAAAACTACATAAAAACCTCACAATCTCAAGGGGAAAAAAATCGCAAGCTAATTTTATTACAGCAAAGTCAAACCCTGGCAAATCTAAAAAACAACATTTTCGAGGTCACATCTGCAATTTTCATCAGATCAAATCACGGATTCTCTCTAGCAGACATTAAAAGCAACTTATTGATTTGGTCACCATGGAAACAAAAAGCGTAGGAACAGAACGACAACAATAAGCAAACTGTAAATTGAGGTTGTCTATTTCTCCCCTTGATCGATTAGGAAGTTTTCTATAAATGAGAGAAGGTTTGAATAGAATCAATACAAGCCTGATGCTAAATCGCAATGGTATTCTATTGAAAATCAATGGAAAAATCTCTCAATTTCCTCTGGGCAGTATCAATCTTTCTGTATGCTCAATTTGTTCTACTATTTGAAATTCTACAATGAGTCATTAATCTTGAAATTGATTTAGTATTTCTCTTTATGGTTTCTCGTCATCTGACAGAAGTTTTCCTGCTTACAGTTTCTACTTAAAACAAAGTTCATTGGCTTTGACACAAAATTAGATTACTTTATCAACAATCCTCCCAGCTAACTTGGTAAACAAGAGATATTTCAGAAATAATAACTCTCCAAGGACAGCATAGATTTCTTTATTATCATAAGCTTCTCATCATAGCAAGAAAATATCTTATAAGTGTTTATATTGAACACAGGAAGATTCAGTAAAAATCACTTTAACTGATGTGGAATAATTGTAAGTGATTTATTGTGATTCTGGGTGATGGCTGGTGATTTCTGGTGAAAACAGTCTAATTCATGACCCTGTTACAATGTATATTATACTCTTCTATTGAATATTATCGCATTCACTGTGAAACATCACCACCAAGAGTGATCTTTGACTCAGGATCACCTTGTGTGTACTGTAAGTTTTGGTAGTGGCACTCATGGCGTTATAACTTAAATTTATATCACTTTACTAAAATCAACTTCATAAAAACAAAACTGAAGTCAAAGGAACACACATATATAAAATGGGTATGCAACAGCTGAATTCTTATATTTATCAGAAAATTCTGGTTTTATGTTAGAAAATTCAACAAATTAATCCTGATAACTGAATGACACCAAATTAAACCGATGAATTGATCTAAAATCAATTTTAGCATGTGCAATGTACATGTTTTAAAAATTTTCATTAAGCAGGCAGTTGTCTTAAGACCATGTTACATGTTATACCTTGATACTTTAAAGAATAAAAACTAAGAAGCACAGGAATGAAATAAAGATTATTGTCAACTTCTGGTAAATTTACACTAAATGTTACATGTATATAACTGTACCAGTTCTAAGACAAGGACAGAAAAGAGGTTAGTCATTCCTATATAGAAGAGATTAAGCTTTGAATAAACAAGAATTTATTATAACTTGTGAAAAATTGGCAAATTCCCAAGTGCAAGTAAACCAAAGTATACACAAGTGATAAACTTATAGATTCATAAAATGTGTGGACTCATGTGAATGTTTGGTGTGTACATTTTGTAGATAGAAAAACAAACAGCTTTTAAACCCAAACTGTCTTTGGCAAATGACTGGATAATAAAGCAAAGGTACAGAATAAGAATATGAATATTTTATTGTTCCAATTAAGAGTCCTTGATGGGCAGTGTGACATTCACATACATGTACACAAACATTACACTGATTTCGTAACACATTTTCCAATTGAAATGAGCTCACAAAAAGCCAAAGAAAGACTTAAATTGGTTTCAATTTACCTTACGGAATGTGATTCAAAAAATATTTCTGTTTACTACAGTGAGCCAGATTAATGACAGAAATCTAGTATTGTCTTTGGAGAGTTGTTTTATTAACTTATATATAAGTTCATATTAACATTTCCACATTATGAGAAAAGTAGCTGGAAGTCATTCTGTGTCAAATACGTGGAGTATCAGTCAGTCAGTCGGAAACATATAAATTAGACCTATTTACATGTACTGTGTACACTAATTGTGTGACCTTCAAAAGGGTTGTTAATAATGTAACTGACCAGTCATGCAATTTTGTGCCCTACATTGTACCATTAACATAAAGTGGATTGCATGTCCTTGAAATTAAAATTAACATAATTTTCTGACTGACATGTATTAAATTGAACCACTAAATAGATTAACTTTACCTCAAACAACAGAAACATAAAATTTGTCACGAAAACCGTCTCTCTTCAGATATTTATGAAATGTTTAATGCTAAAGGAAATGTACTGCACGTACATACATATGGTGACAGGATTTGGGACTCTGGATAATTGTCAATTACAAAATTTGACAAGGTTTTCAAGTCCATTATATTTAAAATATTCCCCTATGACCTAGTTGTGTAGACAAAACAGCATCTGAACTCTGTATGACACCCATTTCATTTTACGCTGGAGCATTGTAATATAAAAATCCCCCATAACTACAACAAAGCTCGCCATTTTCATTGTTTTGTGAAATGGAATGCAATTCATTGTTGACTTCATATAATGGGTCATTTGACAGTATGGCTTCCCAGTTTAATAATTCTCATCTTAAAATGCAAGAAATCCCAGTGAAAATCTAGTTTCTACACAGTAAATATTTTTCATAAAAAATGAAAATATTCATCAGCAAATTGATAACAACTTTCTAAAACATATTGAAAACAAGGATGTAACTTCAAAAAGAAGAATTCTTGGCAAAATGTTGTAAGGAGATTGAAAACATTGACAAAGAATTCTCTACAAGCAATCATAACAACAGCTTCCACATGTCAGTTCAATGGTAGCTATGCTAAACCTATTATCAGATCCATCAGTACCACATATTTTTCTCTACTAATGACTGAATGTTTTGATGAAAAAGATCTTCTTTGAACTATGAACAGATGTCAGATTTAGATGAATCATGTATCTCTCCAAAGATGTTGAGCTAGAGTGTGATTCTAAGACACAGAATTGATTATTCTCTCTTGTTCTTGCCATTCTTGTCTCAAAGTTATTGTAAACAGGGTTAAGACAATGTATAAAGTTTTTAACAGCAGGTTGAGCTAGTCTGGACAATTTTAACGCATAATTGATAATTCTTTCTCATTCTTGTCTCAGCCTTATTGAAAACCGTAAATGACTTTTAACAACTTGGGAAGAAAATGTCACCACCTTAAGTTTATTTTCCGAGCTATAAAGAACAATCAATAATTATATGGAAATCTTGCAATTCTTATCTTCTAATTTAGGATTATCTATGCTCATTAAAAGCATTAAAAGGGTAACGCACCTAGCTGCATAAAGCAATAAAAGATTCAGTTTGCTTTAATACCTATACAAAAATCAAAACACAAAGAAAAGAATATTCATAAGATTCCTTTCTTCTTTGACTGATTTATTGAAATTAGATTTTTTTTAAACCCATCTGAAAATTCATTAACTTCATCAAAAGTGTAGGAAGCCAGATTAATTGCAGTTCATACATATTTTATTAATGCAAGTCGGGCAGATATCCTTTAAGCAAATGATTTTAGATGAATAATTGTTTTCATATAAAAGGAGGAGAATGTCTTGTATGCATACACGCAATATTATTTATGTTATTTTGATGCTTTGATGTAACAGGATTAGCACTTCTTTTTTTTGGACACGAGACATTTGTTTGGTTTTTTTTTTATGGCATTCCCATGGAACCTGCTGGACTTTTGGATTTGTATAGGAAAGTGTGTTTAAATCCAATTTTTCCCCAATACTGTTGTTCCGGATGTCTGTCACTAGGAAATATCTTTGCAAAAAAAAAATAAGACTTCATTTTCTAGTGGGACAAATTGACCTTTACATATTCACAAATTTGCAAGCCTGTCACACGTTAGATGTTTTGAGATATCAGCATTATGTTAAGATGAAAATAAAATGTAGCTGGTGAAAATTTCCTTTTGGTTTTTTATCATTGTTTGTTTGCATAAATATTGCCATACACCATACCACACTCGCATAAATGTTAAGCCAACCCAATGACAGTACACATAAACCTATAAAATGTTAATTTCTGTAGCTGTTATTGCTTGTGGTCACCTCTTCCACCCACATTTGGACATCTACATTGTATAATAAAAGGCCTTGGAGAGTATGGACCTTTGAAAAGCTAAACTGGACATTTATACCTGAAGGCTCAACAATAAATGGCTATATAGTGTAGCAGGTGTGACTCAAACAGTAAAATTAACTATTTATGTATTCAGTATACATGACAGCCCATCCGTCACAATGAAAGTCAAATTCTTGTTTACTAGTTATATATATCTGAAGTATATGATTTTGTTTAAGCAAAATGACAGTAACGACAAAATCTTAATATTTTGTTAAAAATGTCTAGATTGTCAGTTTTTTTACATACCTACGTCTATACAGTACATACATTGTACATGAAATTATGTTGGTGTTATTTTTATTTTTCAGAATAATAAAAAAAAAAAAAAAAAATAACAAATTTAGGAGAGAAAAAAATTGCAATCCTGGATATCATGTACTTTTAGGGTAAACAAACAGTGAAGAATTCATTCGTTACAATGCAAAATTTCCATTCTGTCCCAAATTCTATATTACAAGACTTCAGATAACAAAGTTCCCATTACCATTTGAGTGATATTTCCCATACATTCAAGTACAATGTACAAGAAAAAAAATCACATATATTTTAAGTTTTTTCAAGTGTCACTGTGTGTTACTACTTGAAATCGCAATAAATAGTCAATTTCTTCAATCCTTTCAAGATAAATTTTCTCTGATTTTAGTCAAGACTTCTTGAGTTGTATTTTCAATTTCTGGGATTTGAAAAAAAAACCTGTTTTGACACTTACCCCTTCCTTGGAAAGGTACTGGGCCTAATAGCACTAAAACTGGGACGAGGTTCGTCCAATGTCCTCTTAACAACACTTCCTGTAGCAGATCCTTCACTATATGCTGTCGTTAAAACTTTTCCACATAAAGAATTATCCGCATTGTTAGCCTTTGACGCAGACTTTATGTCCGCAAAAGCAACAGTGGCACAAACAAAATCTTCACTTTCCTTTTTCCCATGAATTTTCACACTTTGAATTTTACTGAATCTGCAAATAAATAAACATGATTACAAAATTGAGTTGTAATAATTAACCTTGCTTATTTTTATACCAATGAAATTTTTCAAAATTCTTTGTAAACAAATACACAACACTGGCTGGTACCATCTAGAAGTAAAATACAAAAAAGTACATACATAACATCACATCTGTAGTTTTTTTCTTGCATATTCACCAACAAACAAAAAATCAAATAAAATTTAACAAATAATGTCACCACAACACTAGTATAGTACTAGTTCCATACAATTTCCACTATAATGTTACAGAAATGTCTAGCCATTAAAAACATAGCACTTTGCAAGGTGTTGATCTACATGTAGGTCTAAACATATTGCCCTTTAAAACAATTTTTTCCAGGTCTTAAGAGAGCATAGTGGGGTTATCAACATCAAGCCAAGAAATAAACTTAAACCAGTGCTAGGAGTCTTGACTGAGGGGTCAGCATTGCTATATGTTGAAGACATCATTATGAGATGGAGAACAGCAAATAAAGCACTGTTCCTCTGGTTTATCAAATGTGTTTAGGAATTTTGTGTTATGAATTAATATGTATATTCCTTTATCATGTTCTTTTCAACTATACTTTCAAGGAGACTTGTGTGAGTTTAATTTGAATGAGGAAATATCACTTTTAGTTACATTATTTTTTTTTTTGTGAACTCCTTTTTTACCATTCAAAATTTACTCTTTTTCTTCAAATCTTTTACCCTTTAAAATTCAAAAGCATTTCACTCTTTTTCTTCAAATCTACAACTTTAAGGCAAGCAATTTACATGATTTTGTACCTCATTCAGGAAGATTTCAAAAAAGCAAACTGAAGGTTCATCATTCCTGACCTGTTATGACAACACTAAAATTCTTGTTCACAAATAGGATATACACATGTACACCCAAATGATAAATATGGTTAGGGGATGGAACAGTTTGGTTTTAGATACAAGATAAAGTACAAATGACATCACAATATCCTGTTTGAAAACCACATACAAAAATCCTTTGGTAAACTGATAAATATTATATTTTTTTAAACCACAAATATTTGTTGTAGTAAATGAAAATTAACTGTATTGCTGAATTTGGCAATGTGGTTCATTCACCAATGTTAAACACAATCACAAACAAAACTCTTACATTATAAATCATATTTTATTATGTATCATGATCTATACTGCATTTATTTTAATAAAGGAACAACTTTTTAACTTTTACAGGTGTGGTGGACTATCATTATTAAGTACAGGTTTTCATTCTATTGAGGCAAGATTATAATGTAGCACACTTAGTCATGTTATTTTTTTGTTTTTATTTAACTTAAAGCTGAACTTCTTTTTTGTTGGTTTGAATTATGAAACATCTCTACAAATATATCTTTATATATACATGTAAAAAAAAGATGTGGTATGATTGCCAATGAGACAAAAGTCCACCAGAGTTCAAATGATGAAGATATATATTATGTATACATGTAAGGTTAAAAATTATTGACATATCCTGCCCATCAACTCTTAAACTTTACTGTTTTACAATTACTGGCAGTTGTTTAAATTGAATAAAAGGGGTAGTAAGAGACAGCAACCCAACAAAAAATAAAAAATCCAAAATGCTTGATTCAGAGCTCACTGACTTCAGCAGTTGACAAATATTTATACTGTATTAAGTTAAAATGACCAAATACTTTTAAAAAAATTGTGAATTTAATTTAAAACTATCAAAGTTCTTCAATTAACAACAACCCCTACTCCCTTCCTCAACTAAACTAAACATTAAGATAAAAACAACTGACAAACACCTCCCCCTTTTTTCAGTCAATATTTTCTCTGTATATATATATGAAGCATTTCTATGTTATCCTAATCCTGTAAAATGTATGTAGACAGATAAAAACAAAGGATGATTTATTATTGCTTCAGGAAATACTTGTTGGCAGTATTCCAAACATCACCTCTCATACAAAAATAAATGGGGTCGCTAGGGTCAGTGTTTATACTGGTATTGTTTTTCTTCCCAGAAATACCTTTGTGCACATGTACAAGGAAAATTGGTGGTTATGTTATCTGTTGTAAAATATGTGTCTGGTCTATCTTAACCAGAAAGAAACAAGTTTTCCTCACTTATCTAAATTCAACCCAGAAATGTTAGTAGAATATTAATTGAAAAAGCAACCCAACAAATCATTAAATGAAAATACAAAATACTAACAAAATTCAGTAACTTTTACAGCTTTGAAAATAAAAGCAACCCAACAAATCATTAAATGAAAATACAATATACTAACAAAATTCAGTAACTTTTACAGCTTTGAAAATTCCCACACACCAGATTTATAACTTTTAAGACCAGTTTTTTAATCAAATCCATTTAAAACCTTTCAACAAATTAACATGTTCATAGACATATATATTTACATTGTGTATTAATTTATGTGATGCAATTGAAATGTCAAAACATTACAATGTTAATAATTAATGACACGATTTTAAATTTTCTCAACATTGTTTAAAATTTTATTACAATGTCATAATTTTAGGACAATAAAACATTTTGATGAACAATGTCCTCAAAACTTTACGTAATTCATCATATTTTTATAACCCTACTTCAAGTGAGCTCATTTGAAGTTGGTTTTCTTCAATAAAAATACATAATGCGCATATTTTTGTCTAATCTTTTAAAGGTCAGAGAGTCCTTGGGGATATCTTTACTTCTTTTTGATCCCGTTTCAAAGTACACAAAACAACACTAAAGAAACTTTACTAAGTTCTATTCACCGAACATAATAAGGATTTTTACATGCACACAATATGTTATTAAGTCGGCCATAGAAATTAAACAAGACACCCTGTATAATGTTATTCAAACACAATAGACCGCTGTCATTAGTTTGAGAATGTTATTGGCGTTTTGCCAAAGCAATTAAATCATGTCCCAGATCATGTTTATCACCAAGAACGTAAATAGCTTTAGGGCTGAACAATTCTCCGGTTTCTAAATCAATTTTATCCACGTCTGCAAATGACTTGGAAGGTCGCCAAATAGCGGAAGAGTCCACTCAAAAGGGGAGTCTGTGGGCGATAACGGTATTTGTCACAGTACATTCTGCAAAATCATCTGCAAAAGTTACCAAAACAGATAGACTCGTCCAAAATGACTCATCCTCAGGTGATGTTTTGCAAGAAATTAGCTCTGCGTGCCTAGATATCCGGGGCCTCGATCAAATGACTGAATTGACGGAGAATACATTTTGTCCAACAGTTCAATTTTATGGAAAATTCACTCTAAAAATAAGATCCGAAATTAAAATACTAAAAAGAAATGGAAATTAGTATTATACTGGATTATTATCCATGATTAATTTGAGAAATTTAGTTTTAATTTTCGTAGAAAACTTTAGTTACAAATGGCGACCTAGATATGTAGAAAAAACATGGCCGCCATGATGATTGTCCACTGAATAAAACGGTGATGACGTTGGATTGGTAGCATTATTAAACAGGAATACACAACTTTTATTTTATTTTAGAGTGAAATAAATTATATTTGATTAGTTTTCCTTTCTATATCGTGTTAGAGATATATGTTTTGTATCAAGCTGTGGATTTTGAAGCCCGCCAACAGCATGTGGATTTGGACGACCTTCGACGTCACTGGACACGTTCTTGGATAAAAAATGTATTGCCCATATCTATAGAAATCGGTAGTTTTATTCTTTAAATCTACTTCGTGGTTTCTGGGACAGAAAAATTGTGGTACATCTGCATTAAATGATTATAAAAACCATAGGGGGTTTATTTTTAACGTCAATAAAAAAATGTTCCGAGTTGACGGCAAAACCACTATTAAAATACTTTTTGTTTTTTAGAAATTTTTCACTTACGAATTTAAACAAATTATTTTTTTAATGTTACACAAGGTAAGTATATTTAATGATTTCAGGTTAAAACAGGTTTGTAGAAATGGCATGTTGAGATGTAAGAAAGAGAGGACAGCTACAACATTTGAGTAAAGCCATGATTGCACACGCCTCAAATTTTGCATGTATTGCATGACGTCTATAAATGTATAGTAATTTAAACCTGTACAGAAAGCATAACAAAAAAATCCAATTAAACTGACATATTTTTGGCAGATTAATATCCTTTATTGATATAAATTTTCTCCTTCAATAAATATTTCACATAATATGTCTTCTTGATCTTTGCAAATTGCAGGATGCATACATACATTTTAACCCCAGTGCTAAAAGGCTACTTTTTCAAAGTTTGAACACAATAGTTAGTCTTTTTCTATTGGTATATGTATATAACAAATGATTACAAAGGTTTCTGTAATTTAGGATACCAATATAGCATGTTAGCATGATTGCTGAAAAAGATTATTGAAACTTGCCCAAAAAGATCATAAATTTGCCAATTTCATTTGAGGTACAAAGTTACAAAAGTTACATGTGTTATCTTCATAACATTTTGACTGATCAAAATTTAAAATTACAGGTGTTTGGACTAGAGAAATGAAAACTAATAATACAATATACAATGTATCACAAAACTGGTGAAGTACATGTAAAGTACTGGTAAGCATTTAGGGAGTTACCAATTGATTTTTAAAAGGGGGGGGGATGAAAAATTTGTAACTCCCTTAAAGTAAATGTGGGGATCAGAAATCAAAGACTTATTTTCATACATGTAGATGTGTAACATTATTTTCACATGCCAAATTATATAAATAATGAGATGTTTTCAGAAAACCTTCTATATTGTGCCAAATAATATCTATTGCCAATTGCAACATCCCTTCAAACGATTTAAAATACATGTACAAAAAAAATGTACTTTAAACCTTGTCACAACAAATCTACCCTTTAGCATTATAATGTATATGTAACTTCCAATTAATTTCTGTGAACACCAACAGAATAGCCAAAAGCTAAAGTGACCTGCTGAACTATGATGTAATTTTATTTTTCTCTTAAGGTCAAATATCCTGTA